TGTGTATGATCGCTTTGGGGTGTGTATGATCGCTTTGGGATGTGTATGATCGCTTTGGGATGTGTATGATCGCTTTGGGGTATGTATGATAGCTTTGGGGTGTGTATGATTGTTTTGGGGTGTGTATGATAGCTTTGGGATGTGTATGATCGCTTTGGGATGTGTATGATAGCTTTGGGATGTGTATGATCGCTTTGGGGTGTGTATGATCGCTTTGGGATGTGTATGATCGCTTTGGGGTGTGTATGATCGCTTTGGGGTGTGTATAATCGCTTTGGGATGTGTATGATAGCTTTGGGATGTGTATGATTGCTTTGGGATGTGTATGATGTTATCTGACCGGTACGTGTGGCTCTTTTCCAGCATACGCACAGATACAGCCTCACCAGCTGGTGCAGCAGCACAAACAGCAGCAGCACTTTGTGATACAGCAGCAGACTCAGGTGTCCCAGCGGCCGTCGGCCCAGTTGCTGCAGACCGCATCCGTCCAGCCCCACCTCCAGGCCCAGGCCGTTCAGCCTGTCCCCGTCCCGGTGCTGCCCAGGCCCCCAGCGCCGCGCCAGCAGGCCACCATATTTCACTCCACCGTCAGCCCCCAGGCACTGGGGCACCCACCTGCCTCGCCCAGCCAGCCCAAGGCCGCCCCCGTGCAGCTGACGGCGATCAACCTCCAGATCCAGCCAGCGCCCGGCCCAGTAAGAGCCACACAGCAAAACCACTGGTCTGACGATTTTACACAGGATGCATGTAGATGTCAACCTGCCGCTCTTCTCAGGGTGCACAGCTTACCCAGGATGCCAGCAAGGAAAAGCCAACCTCGCTGGTCGTCAGGGAGACAAACCCCGCGCCTGTTTCCCTTCAGCCCACCCCCACCCCCACCCAGGAGGCGCCTGGCACAGATCAGTCCAGGTCCGACTCCACCGGGCCCTCCGCCCCAGCTGAAGGTACGCTTCTGTCCGCTGGCCTTTTCAATGCCACAGCCATTAAATTCCAGACACCGCCGCTCGGTGATACCAGCTGCCCCCCAGCCCTCACAGACCCACAGGCACAGACACAAAAACCACACATGTCGATTTCACACTGAGCAGTATTAACCCTGAATTAGGCCTACAGCCCCCGCCCATGGAAAAGTGGTGTCTGTCTCAGGACCCTGGTCTGTCAAGTGGTCAATGCTACCATCTGTGACCGAGCCACAAAAAGCATCCCCCCCCCCCCCATCCCAACCCCTCCCCTAAAGCGGAAATCTGTCATGCCCCGGCGTCCACTCGAAAGCCCCCTCGGCTCATGGGAACGTGGCAGCTTTGCTTTTAATGACCCCTGGGGGGCACGACTTAGTAATTCTCCCCATGAAGACGCTGGAGCCTACATAGGTACACACTGACTCTCTCCCTGGTGTGCTGCTGTCCTGGTGAATGTGGCCATGCCGATTTCCCTGCCGCTTCAGAATATCGACATTTACCTATCTCTTTTTAATATTTTTACTTTAGCTAAGGATCTGAAACACTGTTTTAATTTCCCTGGATACAAAAATATAAAGAATACAGATAAAATACACACTTTTCTTTAACCTGACCTGGCTACCCCCGATTAAATTAACATCCAATACATGAATATTTTTAAGCAAAAGATCTGAATAAGGTTTAAGATTTAAGTCTCAAACACAGCGATGTGGGGGGAGAAAAACAAGGCATGTCCGGACTTCAGGGTTGAAAGATGTAACCCAGGTGCCTTTAAACGAGAACCATTCCTGATCCCTGCACTCGGAACAAGGCCGGCCAGTCTGTCGGCATATGGTTCGTAAAATTAGTATCACCTCTAAATATAACCATTCGTAGTGCTGCCATCTGCCGAGGAACAAAAATAAATAAATAAGCAAACAAACAAATAAATAATAAGAGCGCTCGGGTGGCTCTCTGCGCTTGCCGCTAACACAAAGGAGGCGCATGAAGTGCGTGAAAATGCGATTTTCGGGGCAGCTGTGACACAGCGATATCTCGCTCATTGAGGGGAAGGGATTAGGCGCAGGTCTGTTTCCCAACCTCTGGTCCCTGGGGCAGGGCATGGCAACCAGACTGCTCATACACAGTTACCAGCGCCTTACTCTCGAGAGCCAGCCCGTGATTTAGACACAGTATGCAGTAAAGAACAGAATACATTTACGCCTTATACATGTTAGACCCGTAACTAAACGCAATAACCCGAAGAACAGGTTCAGAGGTTAAGCCTTCCACATTTCAAATACAAATTTTCAAACTTCAATAGGTTTCAATAGGTTTTCCCAACTTTTAATCAAAATGCACATACTCTCGATTCAACTTTGTTATTTTGAGCGTTATAATGCAGCCTACCTCGTTTCATTATGTATACATTATAATGTATGCCTAATAATGTTTAGATCGGCCGACCAGTGACAAAACGTAGGACCAGAATTAAGACGTGCAGAAAATCTGTTACAGTTCAAATGTTATATACTGTTATATAGCGCAGACTGCTGAGTAAAATCTTATTTTGTTCTAAGGAGTGTTCATATTTAAATGAGCGTGGGCTTCAGTGTGCCTACGCTGCAAGAGAGGGGGGGGAGTGAAAGAGAGAGAAAGAGAGAGAGGGGGGAAGAGAAAAGCACTCTCCGCTTATTCAGAGCTCCAGGGTCGCCTCCTCCGTCCCCGATCCCAGCGGCGGCCGTCAGCAAACCAGCATCAGCGACTGGAACTGCCACAGATCTCCGTATCTCCTTTAAGTTCTTTTTTTAACGCCGTTTGGGACGATTTGGAGATAATTTAAATCAAATAATAAAAAGTTTTGGTAAGGTCACAATTCCCTTTAGCCTTTTATTTAAAACCGATTGCACAACTTGGCTTTTTGGCCGGTGAAGACGGAGTTCGGGGCAAAGAATCGTCGGATAGGAAAGGATTAGGGTTTTTAAAGGGATTTGAAAAGTAAAAGAAACAAAGGCGTCCGCTGTCGGCGCCGTGTATCTATCGACCGCTTCTCGTACGAGCAAAGCGCTGGAGTTTCAGCTTTCAGAGGTTCGGCTGCATCAGCCGGCTGCCCCCGACGCCGGGACGGGGAGGACCACGTTCGGGCTCCTCGTCTCCGGGACGCGGCAGGAAAATGGCATTGAAATGCGCCCATATAGCGCTGATATCGGGAGCATTTGGTGCCGATGCGGTTCGGCGAATACGTGGTGTCGTTTTGCGGTGCAGTCCATGAGCCCACAGCCGGAATGCATGCACCATGTTCGGGCTTTTTCGGCTCGGTCCAGCGGAGTGCGGATGGCTGTGGATCACTAAAGCAAGAACGTAACTTAATGCTTTATGGTACTGAGTTCGCGTGCATGATGTTTGCAGCACGAACACGCGCTCGTCAGGGCGCGGGGTCCCTGCATGCGTGTGTGTGTGTGTGTGTCTGCCTGCCTCTCTTACCATGCACCCCAATTTTGTTGGCCTCCAGGTGCTGCCGAGGGGGCCGGCGCCAAACCAGAAGCGTGTCCCCCGCCAGCCATGACCTCGGGGAACGAGGAGGACGCCCCCAGCGTGGCCGGCAGCGCTCCTCAGAACGGCGAGAACAAACCCCCCCAGGCCATCGTGAAGCCGCAGGTCCTCACGCACGTCATCGAGGGCTTCGTCATCCAGGAGGGAGCCGAGCCCTTCCCTGTAAGTAACAACCTCCCCCAGACGGCAAACAGACGCTGGCTGACACGGTGATCAAACGGGCATCCCAAGGGCAGTGCAAATTACCCAAATTAAATATTATAAATCAAACCTTTTTATTTTCACATAAACTATAGTGAAATATGTAACGTATAGAGCCATATTAAAGGAAATGTTATTTACTCTGAAGTTTATTCCTTGGATCATTCTTATCCTGTTGTATGCTGATATTTACTTTCATCCTAAATCTTTTTAGGTAAAAGAGGATGAGTTACACGCACAACTGTGATATGCACAAATACGTCATAAAGCAAAAATGATGTAGTCATATCATTTAATATTTCCAGGTGGCGTGTTTCTTGCTGTTAGGAACCTTTGGAGTAGTCTCCATACTGTTATGTGCTTATTTTGGTTCACCCGCAAACTGTATTTATAATTAATCAGGCGTAGATTAGACAGCGACTGGTTCTGAAGGTCCTGTTCGCCCTGGAAGGCTTTGCCATTGACATCCAGGTGCTGCTTCACAATCGCGGGTTTTTAACGTCTGTGATTTGTGTTTCACTGTAACCAGGGATTGACTTAAACACAAATTTATAGATAAAAGAAAAACCAGAGTATTTTATATATATGCTTTGTGAGTAACAGTAACTCTTTTATGTTTGTTGTGAATTTAATAATCCCTTTACAAGGCTGGAGTTGTTTATCACGCTTAACCCCTGCAGCCTCCCACCGGGGCCCCCAGAATGGCCCCCAGGGGTGGATCATGCGGCTTTGCCTTGCTCACTCATCAGTAATAAATCATTAGTATCCAGAGCTGGGGGTGCCCCTGTATTTATGAATAATGTAATTTTGCCCTTTGGGGGGGAAAAAAGACAGACAAAGTAGGACTGAGGACACAGGTATTGACGGAAATTAAATTATGGAGGTGAAACTGGCGGTGGATAGGCTCAGGGGCCGGTCTGATTAGAGCCGGGATCATATAGTCACATGCTGGTCTGGCTGTTATAAAAGGTAAAACATTTGCCATCCTTTTGGTTCGGGCACAGCCTGCTACACATCTCCCAGGCTGGCACCTGTTCTGAAATACTACTGCATAGTGTAAGCCAGTAGCCTTTCAATTACCCAGCTGTGTCTAAAAAACAGAATAAAATGGATTTAACCATGTTTTGGACACTGCCCCCTGGTGGACATTATGTTTCTCAATCTGCTCACAGTTGAATTAATCCTATCAGACTTTTTGTGATAATTCAAGGGTTCTTTTGTGTGGCTAATTGTTAAATGTAGGTTGCTCCGTATATGTGTACAGTATATACATATGTAAGTTGTGTGTGTGTGTGTGTGCGTGTGTTTACACATACATGCTGGGTGGAAGTGCCCTGCTCACCAAACTGTCCCCCCCGCCCCCCAGGTGGAGCGTGCCTCACATTTGGTGGACAACCTGAAGAAGCCCAGCCAGCCACTCCCTTTGGACTCGGAAAAGACCCACCAGAGCAGCCCCCCCGCCGCCACCGACTCCGAGATGGAGGATCTGACCCAGCAAGGTTGGCCCAGCCTGGCTGGCCGGTCTTCTCCTCTCCAAACGCTACCCCCCCCCCCCCCCCCGCCTTTCCTAGCTAACCAAGCCAGACTTTCCCTCACTCTCTCTCGGTCTCGTCACCTTCGTGCAGAGCTCGGGGATCAGGAGGATGCAAATGAGCCACGTCTGCAGTGTGAGCTCTGCGGCTGGGTCGACCTGGCGCACAAGTTCAAGGGCTCCAAGCGCTTCTGCTCGGTGGTGTGTGCGAAGAGGTACGCTGTGGGCCGAGCCTGCGCTGCGCTTCCTGACGTCAGAGCCGCGCGCTAATGTTCTCGTTAGCTTGCGGGGAGCTATGTTAAGAGCCGGAATTTAACGGAATTTTGCTACATGAACATTGTGCTTGTGGCCCAGTGGTAGCACTGTGGCCTCATGCCTGCAGGGTCGTGCTTTCAAGTTCCACCTCCGGATCTCGGTTTGTGGCATTTGCATGATATTTTGTGTCAATTCTTTTCTGGGTACTCTGGTTCCCTCCATGGCCAAAATACATGCAGTTAGGTGGACAGGGTTCTCTAAATTGCTCGTAACGTGTGTGTGTCTGTATGCCCTGTGTCGGCCTGTACTTTCTGGAATAGACGTAAAATCATCCCTGCATCCCTCTACTGCTAAAGTAGTTATGATGACATGATTTTTGGCTAAATTATCATGTGCATGTTTAATAAACTATCAGAAGTATTTTTAAAGGTCTTTTAAGGGCTCTGTATCTGGGATAAACGCCTTGCGCGTGTGTTTATAATGAGTGCCTCTCGTAACTGATCACCTTTTCGCACTTCTGTGGACAGGTACAACGTCGGCTGTACGAAACGCATGGGTCTCTTCAACCCAGACCGCAGCAAAACGACGAACCGCTGGCGGCGGAAATCACGCAGCGGCAGCCGCCAGGGCATAGAGGCCAAAAAGCAGGTGAGGAGTCAAGCCCCGTGTCTGCCCACACATCTGCGCACGCATCTGCGCACGCCCTTGCCCCATTTACCTACTGCAAACCCACTGACTGAGCTGTTTGCAAACGGTCACATGAGTGGAACTTTAAAATAAAAGCCTAACAGTGACAAAGAGACACAAACGTTCAGATCTCTTTCTGTAATGAACATGATCAGCACCTTCTGCCCTTGCTTAACCCTCTGCTCTTGTAATTGCGTCTGGTCTGTTAGTCTCTTTTTCTGTCCCCGTTCCCTAACTTTTATCTTTATTCCCGTGTGGCCCCCTTTCCCACCTGTCCGTCTGGTCCCACGTCTCACGTTTTCCTGCGTCGCTCTTCCAGAGGCTCAGCACCCCCCCACAGCAACTAGGTGGCTCCGTCTCCTCCGCCTTGCCCCCCTTGCCCAGCCAGGGCGAGTCCAGCCCGTGCTCAGAGGTATCCAGCTACGAGGGGCCCCCGTCACCCTTGTCAGCGGCCAGTTCGGGTGCCCAGGGGGCCCCGGGAGAGCGAGCCTCGGACCCTGAGGGCGGAGTCAGGGAGCTGCCCCTCCTCACGCAGCACTTCCTGCCCAGTGACCCCACCCAGTGGAATGTGGAGGAAGTGTACGAGTTCATTCGCTCCTTGCCAGGTCAGTGTTGCCGAGAGATTATGGGAAACTACTGTATTTTAATTGATGTTAATGGATTTTTCTGCACACATGACCTTTTTGAATAGTATCTGAATCTCTTTAGATGAGAAACATCACTGTTCTCTCTGCCTCCTTCGTTTTCAAGAGTCTCAGTTCTAAAAGTATCTCACTGAAATGGACCTGCAGCTTCATGACCCCCGAAACACCTTTCTCATGTCGTGGCCCGTGTGCTGCACCCCCCCCCCCACAGGCTGTCAGGAGATTGCAGATGAGTTCCGCTCGCAGGAGATCGACGGACAGGCCCTGCTTCTGCTGAAGGAGGACCATCTAATGAGCACCATGAACATCAAGCTGGGCCCCGCACTGAAGATCTACGCTCGGATCAGCATGCTGAAGGACTCGTAGCTCTCCATGTTACCCCCCCTCCCCCATGATCCGCCAAGGCAGAGCCTTGACTAGTTCTGCACTATGACCTCACATCTGTGGGTGTCTCCCCTGCCCCCCGCCCATATACAGGTGCTACATCTGTTCTCTTGTACCCTGCAGACTGAGTGGTGCACTTCCCCGCGCTGGCCCTCCTAGAGGTAACTCTGAAATGACTGTTACTGACCATTAGGGGGCGCTCTCTCTCCATAACCTTATAGGATGAACACCAACACCATGAAGAAGATCTGACCTGAAACAGATCAGACTAATTTATTTTTGTGGGGATCCACTTGTGCGATTTTAAATTACATCAAGACATTTAAAATAAATATATACAATTGTAATATATTTAGGTTTTGAGATACTGTCTATGTTTGATTTATGTTTGTTTTTGTTGCTGGAACAGGTATGTATAAACTGGTGCTAGTTCAACGTCTGGGTTTTAAGATCTTGGTCATCTTGGGCAGTACATCCCTGTGGTACTTTGGACCAAGTTCAGCCTTGGTTTGCAGTCACAATGGCTCGCCTTAAAAACAACAGCGCCTCCCTCAGTCTACGGAGGGAGCCTACAGTGTACGCATTTCATTTTTAATTTCTTTGCAACCCCTCCATCTGCCCCCATTGACAAAGCTTGAGGAAATGCCAGCAAAGAATATCTGTGGGAAATGCAAGAGAAAAAAATGTCCTTTGTCTGCATGTCCAATTCGTTTGCATATTTTCTTTCGTTCGATGAAAATATGAATGTGGTAGTTATGGTCACAGCATGTTGAGAAAGGCCAGACTGTGACTGAAAATGTGTGAGTAGGGGCTCTAAATGCAGGTACCCCCCCAAAGTAATTCTTCCAAAGACGCACAGCTCGACCCCCCCCGCCGCCCCCCGCCCATTACTATGGCACTTAGACAGATGGTCTGATTCTGTTTTTATGAGGTGTTACTGTGCTGGTGTTCTCTTCTAGCAATTCACTGTTTGGTAGGAATCTGTCGGAGGTGTAAACAGCGTGTTCTCCTAATCTTCCTATTTTTTTACTTTTAATTTTTTTGGAGTTAACTATGTATGTTGGAATGTTATTTATGAGCATTCAATCCAAGCACTCACGCTTAACTCTGTTCCGAAACGCGGACTATTGGTTACATTGTGTGTTACTGTGAAGAGACTGTGTGTGTCTGTCGTTAAATTTGTTAGCCTCATGGAGAATGTTTGTGTCAGAATAATGCTTTGTCGAAATGGTCATATTTATTGAGAAAATGGGTTTGTACATTTTTTTTATTCTTAAATACATTTTTTTTAATGTATTTAACTGGACTTTTTGGGGGGAGGGGGAATGAGTGAGTATTGAGATCTGAAAATTCACTGAACCCTACAGATTTAATTAGTTAGTTTCGCACATTCTCATCTTTCCGTAGCTGCTTCATCTGCCCCAGTACGAACCCAGTAAGAGGACTGGCCGTGAAGTTTGTGTGTCATCCCAAATGTGTTGTTTGTCTTTGACATACTATAACAACTTAAAAAGACACGATACATCATGTACCCCGGCTTGGCTGCACTGGGGTGTGGGGATGGTGCTAGATATGAATTCGAACACTACTCAGGTCAAGAATCTCAGGCAAAGTCCCCCCCCCCCCACAAGATTAGCTTTTTTGCCAGAACCGGTTATTAAGAGTAACAGACTAATATGTGGCTGCCATTTTCATAATAAGTATAACATAAAAATCCAGCCTAGCGCAGCATACAAGCTGGTAACCATAACGATTACTGTAATCAAACGGTGCTACAAAACCGGCTTATTATTTAATAACCGTCTCTGAAACAATTTGAAAACAAGCCAAGGCATTTCCAGATACAGGGAATCGATTAAAAATGTGATATTAAATTGCTAATGTCCTTCGGTTTCTGTTGTTCATTAATATGATTCATTAAGACTCGTTCATGGTGAATTTCATAATGTTTTGTATAGTATATAGCATGTAGACTGGAAGGTGTATAAGTCATAACCAGATTTTTGCATTTTTACTACTAGCCAACTGGGCTGCCAGGTTAAATTTTTCTTACTGGCCAGCAGGCTAGTGGTTTTTTTTTAAATATTCGCCTAAATTCGTCTAATTACTCGCCTCAGTTGAGTAGAGGAGCTTATACTTCATGCCAGACAGAACTGGAGAATGATCCCACACTTCCTGGTGCTGGGCTGAACTCCCCGCTGAGGATTATGGGAAGACTTCATCACGGTTTCACTCAGTGGGCGGCATTCGGAGCTTAGCTTCCGTCGCGAGGGACGTGCGTTCGGCTTTTCTTGCGCTTCACCCTGCTGTTGAGCTGTGCGGTGTCCAATCCCAGGGACTCCAGGCGGAAAGGGCGTGATGGCAGAGACTGGGCAGGCTGGGCAGGGACGACGAGGGATGTCCCGTCGCTGAGTGGCGCTGAGTGGGTGGCTGCAGAGATGCTGATGGTCATCACATTGAACAGGAGGGAGAGACGTGCATCCAATTGGTGCGAAAACCAGTGTGAGATTTTTGTGTCCTCACTGGTCTGTGGCTATGTTCCCAGAAACATCACACTGTTAAGCTAAAAACCTACACTGCAAAGTCAGCCACTGGCTGGGTGTTTGCTTTGAATTTGAGTTAAATTTTAAAAAAAAGTATTTAATCCAGTGATCAAGAACACATCTCTCTGTTTTTTTCTCCCCAAACACACACAGCTGTCACACATTCACATATGCTTAGGCATGTGGGAAAATCTAAAAAAAATCTGCAGTGTCCCCAATCTGGATGAATGATCTTCCAACAGTTGTCAGAATTCTGTTTTGCTACAGACAAAATTCTTCTGCCTCTAAGATGCAACTTACAATCCCGTGTCAAAAGCAGTCTGCATTTTACATTTGATTTAGTGATGCCCGATTCGCCTGGATAAAACTGTCAGCTAAACAAACCAAACGGCTGACTGACACACAAAGGAGACCCGGAAAGTGAGTGGAGGGTCTGATTCAGTGCATGCTGCTACACAGCCCCCCCCATTCAGAAGCCAGCCAGCTAAGCACCTCTGCAGCGGTTCCCACGGAAACCCCAGAAGCTCATGATCTTACCGACGCTCTTCATGGGGTCTGTGGCGAGCAGCTCACTGGCCCTCCGGCACTTAAAATAGTTGCTGGCGATGTTCTCGCTATTGCTTCGACTCAACAGCTCCTTATAGCGGTCCTCTTCCTGTGCAGACCAGGGACAGCAGCTGAATGCTTAATGGAAATTGCCATCACATGTGACTTTAGCAACGACGGGTCCCCAGTGATACATTTCGGCGACTCACAAACCCATGGAACCACTGGGAAAATGCCGGTATACCAGACAGCCAGTCCAGGACTGCCACCCCACGTCATCCACCCCCTACAGCAGTGTTTCCCAACCTGCTCCTTGGGGACCCCCAGACCGGCCAGCTCCCTGCCAGACAGTCCACATTTTTGCTCCCGGCCAGCTCCCTGCCAGACACTCCACATTTTTGCTTCCCCCCAGCTCCCCACCAGACACTCCACATTTTTGCTTCCTCCCAGCTCCCCCCCAGATAGTCCACATTTTTGCTCCCTCCCAGCTCCCTGCCAGACAGTCCACATTTTTGGGAGCAAAAACATGGACTGTCTGGGGGTTCCCAAGGACTGTGTTGGAAAACACTGCCGCACTATCGGTACCAATATTCTCGCAAGATAATTCTTTTAAGTACATACTGGTGCAAATGGTTCCCCACTGTCTGCAATGGTAGTCCTGAAAGCTGGTAGTCGGCTTTGGCTGCCGGTTGTTTGTGCTGTGGGCACTATGATGAAAAGGAAGGAAGGGGAAGTCAAGCATTTGCAGACACAGGTGGACTCACCTGAAGAGTCACCAGCACAAATGATTCTATCTTTGTGAGATCACTAACTTGACGGGAGGACTGTTTTCTGCACCACCACCTCCGGCAACCTCCAGGTGGCGCTGTCCTCATCCCACACGGCCTCCTTGCGGAGTCGATCGACACAGCTGTAGTTGCAGTCGCGCCGGACCAGGGGGAGCACACGCTCCAGGATTCCCTGCAGCAGCTGGGCCTCGCGCTCCAGCCTGCGGATGTTGGCCAGGTAGTCATCACGCTCCAGCTCAAACTCCCTCTGTAGGTCGCGGATCTCCAGGCGCTCTGCCTTTAGCTGAACGGGTGGCAATGGGAAGCGACACTCAGAGCCAGGAAATGTACACATTTTATTGGGTTAGAATGCAAACTATCCAAAGGAACACACATGGCCCAAGGACAGAAATAATTCAACACTTTATGCTTACATCTGTATCACAATACTGAGTATGATACTGGAAAAGGACACTAATCTTCTTTTTTTATACTGTTAAACTGTCCATACGTTACATCGTACTATACGACATTTTAACGATAGTTTCAATAGTAATGCTATTCTGTTATCTTGGCAGGGGTGTCTCCCACGATAAAATTGGGGGGGGGGTTGCCAATAATACATTTCAGCAAACAAAAACTCCACAGTACACTGTGTTATTGCAATACCAGTTCTACACCTGTCCAATGTGTCTGCAACGTTTGAAAAGATCTGTCAAATACTTATCGAGTTATCATGATAATGAGAAAGAGTCTGCAGTAGCAACGGACTGGTCCCAAAATCATACGTAGTCCATGTCTGGGGAGGGCAATTACTAGCACAGAGGGACATCAGTGTTACCACCTAGTTTTAGCATCATTCTCAGAGTCTGTTGCATAAGAACAACAGATGCTGTAGCCAAAATAGCTGAGAAAAATCAAAATATGCCATGAAGTTCTGTCACGCACCATCAGCGCATATCCAAGCCGGTGCACCTACCTTTCCCTGCGTCTCCTCCAGCAGCCGGCTCTTGGCATGCACCTCCTCCTGGATGGAGTCATAGACGCGGAGCAGCACGCCATCGGTGTCCTCCGTGCCCTCGGCCATCGCCTCAGCCAGCTGCTTCTTCCTCTGGTCAGCCAGACGCTTCCTCTGCCGGTGCCTCAGCTGAAGGTCTTCGTTCCGGGCCTCTTCTCCGCCCACGAACTCCTGCTCCAGCTGTTGGAGCCTGAGATGGAAACACACCAAGGACCGTGGAACCGCTGTGGACTGCCAAACATGCACACGCACTTTTCCAGGTTGTAGTGGGTTTGAGGACACACTACCATGCATTGGCTCAGCATGTTCCTACCTCTTCAGGGCGTGTTTCTGCTCAAGTGCACCAGGGGTGCTGACAGGAGAGGCCCCCCTGTGTGCCTTGCCCTCTGGGTCCTCCCGGAGGCTACTAGCCTGATGAGCCACTTCAGGTTGGGACACCTGGAAGCAAGATCGAGATCATGGCAGAGGCACCAGTCAGAGAGAAACATCTCAGCTGTCATTTGTTCTGCATCATTTAATTTCACTACAATAACTGATGTTCTTGGTGCAACAAAGCAGGATAGAGCAGAATTTTTACAGCCCATTTGGCAATTGAAAGGAAATAACTTATCAAGAGCCATTTCTTCCCAGAATCAGTCGCTTTATGTTCTCATTTAGCAGTGACCATAATCCCCTCTGCCCCCAACCCACTAATTTCTTCTGGATGCCTACTTGAGCTAAGGAATGCTCCATAGCCGTGACGGCCTGAGGGACAGCTGTTCCGGGTTGACGCTCCTCCTCTTCAGTGGACACACTGCTACCAGCCTTCCCTGGCACAACAACAGAAACACAGTCCACTTGTTTTTGGGAAAACAGAGCCTTGTACCATCTGGAAAGCCCCAATAGAGGAACCTAGGTTTTCCAGACAAAATACTTGTCACCCATTGTATACTGGACCCCCCAGCTACGAGCTTTAAAGACCATAGCAAATGACCTTTGTCAATGTTAACGGCTTTCATCATGCCGAGCTTCTCCAGGCCTGACAGCCTGGCCTCATAAGAGGTGCGGAGCGTGACAATGTCCTCCTGAAGTTTGGCGTTGGACTCCTGCTCCGCGTGGTATTCTGCCTGCAGCCTGGCCAGCTTCTCTTCGTAGTCCTGTGTGCAAGTGTGGCTACATCAGCATCCACCCAACACCATCCGCCGGAGGCACGAGATGGCAAGAGATCATCGTCACCTGCTTCATCTTCTCCTTCTCTGCTTCACTCTTGGTGGAAGGAGGGCCTTCAGACTTCGCGTCAGCCAGCGATGCTACCAAGAGGACAAACCAAGGCTGGAAAACGCTAAGCGAAATGGAAATAGGAGAAGAGGGAGTGGATACTCACACGGAATGTTTGTCCCCCCTAGCTGCCCCGAAAGGAGGGTGCGCAGATACTTGATTTCGTCCTGGTATTCTCTAAGCAGGGCATCCTTGGGGTCCTCGTTGACACGTGGCCGGTTCTGGATGCTCTTAGCACGGTGGGCGTAGCGCAGGGTGCTAAGGCTCTCCTCGTAGTTGTTGTCAGCAGGTGACAGACAGGCCACCATGAGGGTGCGAGTGTTGCCACCAAGTGAATCCTGCAGCAGGCGTGTCAGCTTGGAGTCCCGGTAGGGCACGTGACGGGAGCGGCCGTCCACCAGGGCCGAGATGACGTTGCCCAGTGCCGACAGAGACAGGTTGATCTTAGTGGCCTCACGCAGCCGCTCTCCCATGGCGCCGGTCTTGGACAGCCTCTCGCTGCCCGCCAGGTCCACCAGGTTGAGCTTCCCAGCTCTCAGTCTGCCTTCACCAGCCGCATCTGTGCATGTGACCACCAGGGGGAGACAAATTACCCTACCAAGGTTGATTGAGTTTCTTAGCTTGACACCTTGAGGCACTTTCAATATTTCTAAATTTAAACTGAAGCAATTATATTTGGGGCTACAGTATGAGGGCAGAACCAAAGACCTAACATTCTTGCTTAATGCAACACCAGATATCCGTGATATGCTAATATTTTCAAGTTTAATTCCATTCATTTCTCCCCTGCCTGCCAGTGTGTTGAGAAGGTATAATTTTCTTTAGATATGGAAGTCCATATTTGGTAGGAGAACCACATGCTGCGAGATAAAACTATGCAGATACTGCCAGTTCAAAGTAATCATACTTACTCCTCATTTCACCACATTGGAGAAGATCGATAAGATACTCCTGGCTGCTATGAATCAGTAAAGACACACGATCACTTACTGGCAGAGGTGGACATTTCAGGTCCAGAAAGTAAAAATCCAGACCAAGATTTTGTTTTAACCAACCAATTAAGTATAAAGAGTCACAGTCACAGAGTACCCAAGTGGCTGGTTGAAACAGATCTAGGTCTGAATTTCTACATCCTGGCCCTGATATGCCCATCCCTGCTTACTAGTTATCCACTGACCTTTTAGCAAATAATTGTAATCATGGCAGCTTACATGCCATTCACTTTAATGTTTAATATGTAGGGGTTCAGAGTGCTGATGTCTGGAAGCTCATGAGTTTAAATCCCATGGCTAGTGGAAAAATCATATCGCAGATGGACTCTTCAGTAAGGTCTTTAAACCCCAAATGCTTCAGGAACACTGGCGGACCCTGATCCTCACTTGTATGTCACTTTCAAATAAGGCATCTACCAAATAAATGAAAATATATCCATTCTCTGTGGCCAAATATATTTTGTTGACATTCCCTAGGCAAACACCATGGCCAGTATTTTAAGATCTATGGTCGACAAAGGGTTAAGGCAGAGTGAAAGCGGGGGTTGAGGATCTCCAAGGTCTGACCGGTGCTGCAGATCTCCATGTGGATTGTGAAGATGGAGTGAGAGCGGGAGGAGTCCTTGTTCATCAGGGTGCAGCCCACGGAGCGATTGCGCCAGCCCTGCTCCATCAGCCGCTCGCACTCCGTGACACTGTGCACGGTCCGCATGGACAGGTTCCGGACATAGACGCCATGCTCTGGGTGCTCCTTCAGCTACCAGAGACACAGACACAGACATAGACTGATGCTTTCACTGAAACACTTGCAGACAGTGGCATCCTGTCATGTTTGGTCCAGAATAACAATAATCATAATAATAGGGCCTATTTTTGTCTGAAACGTGGACGTCCAGTCTCACAGGACCTGACAACACATTAAGACTGCTCTGTTTACACTGAAGAGCCATTCAGATAAACTTCCAGGAGGCTAGCAAGTGTTATATTTTCCGCAAGCTAACTCAGGTGGGAAAATGTCTGTACCACAGAGGTCAACAGTCCCTTACCAGCCCAGCCCTCCTCGGAAGAACATATTGGATCAACTATTTATTGGGTCTCTGTTCCGTGTCACCAAGGCAACAGCTATTGTTCCTTCACCCATGCACTCCCAAATTAACAACAGGCGGTTACTGGGGTAACCAGTCCTATAGGCATCCCATTTAAGAGCCAGGAGAGAACATACAGTGACAAGAGAGCAAATGAATAATTGCTCCCTTTTCCTCCTGAGAACTCACTCGAGTTTCTGCCTCTTACCTCCATGTTCTGTTTGGTGTCATTGCCTAGGAGGTCCCTGATTTCCTCGTTGTATATTTCCAGATAAGAAGTTCTCACGAGGAACTTTGTATTCTCCGCGCACTTTACGAAGAGGAGATAAAACAGACTACGGATTAGATCGGTGCTGGAAAAAAGTTCAAGTAATCGATACTTTGTGCTTTTTTTTCAAAAAATTAAAAATCCCACACATTCTGTAGCCAGGGGGGGGGGGGTCAGTGCTAGTTGAAATTCGTTCCCTCTATAGTCAATATTAATATGGCAACAGAATAACGCGCGATAAACTTTATTCTGACGCCTAAATGAACATTACTGATGCATATATTGACAGTTAAAAGGTACTGTGATACCTGTATAGTCTCGAAGATGTGTTCAAAGGCTCGGGGAATCACGCCCCTGTAGGCGGCCAGCTCAGCGACACCCTGCATGGTGAAGGACTTGCCGCTGCCCGTCTGTCCGTAGGCAAATATGGTCCCGTTGTAACCTTCCGTCACCCCCTGATGGAAGGGAACTCTCCAATGAACAAGCCGGATTACAGGAAGGTTTCCCGTAACTTTTCTAGTCCCGACACATTGGGTAGTCATCAACAGAAATTATTTATATAAATAACGCAAAGGAGACATTTTAATAGGCCTATAAAATAAGTCATCCTTATGAATAAGCTAAATACTACAACACAGAATACAGAGTGTCCCTAAAACGATGAAGTGTACAGAATATCATAGGGAAAGCGTTTTAGTTTAAAGTAAGCACACAAATTATATAGATCAAGGTAACTCATAAGGTTTTTAAGTTTGTCATTTCTATGATATACGCTTGTGCTCTGCATGTACATTTTTAATTTAAAATTGAGTCCATGGTTAACAAGTGGTGTAACTTGTGACCCCTGTGTCACAGGGCCCTGTATTGGGCGAGTTATAAAACATTCATCGTGCCGACAGCATGAATTTGCTCCGCTTTCTGCAGTTACCTCCACCAGCGGGTAGGCGACCTCGTTGTACATCTGCTCGGTGGTGTGCTGGGTGCAGTAGGCTCCGTCGAAGGTGAACTGCTTGGGCGGCTCCTCCGCCGCTCCGGGCTTCTCTATGAAGCACTGGCCCCGGTCGGAATCCAGCGACACCACCGCCTTACAGTTCAGCGCCCTTTCCCTGTCATTCATGGGTCGGCACCTGACCACCACCTTAACCGACTCGGAAGCCATCAGTGTCTTTTGTTGCCGAAGTGCAGATGTAAAATGCAATGTAAAAAGTAATTTAGATGCCTTTCAGTCGTGATAAAAGCATAGTTAACTATCTTTGTGCGTCAATGTTATAATTTAAGTCATCACTGAAGTGATCCCCGTCCTTGCTGGATAATACATTTTTTTACAGGAAACGTCCCCTTCGATACAGAAGTTTTTATTCTTTCGTAACGCACCAATGCCACGCATAGCGAGCGCACAGAGACAAACTTGCCAGCGCGGTCCGACAGCAGCGTCCAAAGCAGTGCGCTTGTCCGCCCCGGCAGACCCTCCCGTTGCCCGCTGTCATAGCCCGTAAAGCATCACTGGGGGGACACATCGGCAGCGCCATCCAGTGCCATGGAAACACAGCCCAGAGGTACCCGGAGAGTCGCCACCACTGGCGGTCCTACAAAAATAAACGCTGGAATTCTCCTACCGCGGCGTCCCCTGTTGCCGAGTAACCGCAAACTTCCACGGAAACGCGATTGACAGTTTTAGGGACCGTCGTCAAATAAGTGCGTGTAATAAAAAAAAACTTCACTTCTTGTAAAGGCTAGCCTACAACTGGGTCCTAAATCTCACTTTTTTCATCATCATTTAACAGGAGGTTTTAGAAAATAATGATCTATTTCGGAGTTTGCATGCTGTCTAAGTACTGACGATTTCCCCTCATAGCCGAAAGCAAGTGAATGTCATAAAGATAGAGGTGGGAGAGCGTTACGGGAATACATCAAATTATCTAAATAACACGATTTGATCAACATTTTGCATTAGAATCAGTAAGCACTTTATACGAAGCTAAAGTGAAAGGCATATTTTTCTACCCCAGATTCTCAAAAGCTATGCTCCCAAAACGGATAACAGCGCCCTCCCGTGGCAGTGCGAGAAGCCGCAGTTCCTCCCCTACTTCTACCCAATGCGTGATCAGACACGCTACTACGAGACATTTCAAGACAATAAAAAAAATCACAATCTTGAAATAAAAAGATTCAAGAAAACATCGTGCATATTTTAAATGTAATTTATGAGTTGGTGTACACTACCTCAATGTCACAAAAATCCAAGTTTATTATGGACTTCACACAACGGACAAAAAAAGTGAAGGGATATATACAGGTGACCATAAACATAAACGATCATGGTGTCCATCCACTGATTTTTGTCTGTGGTATTCAGGAGAGCTCTAGGTGCAGTCTTACTTTTCCAAAGTGTTAACTATGGTATAAGAAGCATGGAGAGGTGATGGACATGAATGATATTAACGTTGTGCTTTCATACATGCTATTGACATTCACCCGGCCATGGTCAGTACGTAGATTAACCTCCACAACATTCCAGCCCCTCAGGGAATATGTCCACCAGCATAAACTCAGGAGAGTCATCTGCTCTTGATCAGACTTGCCTTCAGGTATCTATTCATCTCAAATGCAAACACATGAGCAAGCATGACAAAGGGAACCAAGAATGTTTTCCCCAGAAGAGCAAGCATACATCACAGGTTGATAATTTGTTCATCTGAAGTACATACGCTTTGGGTACTAGTCCAGAATGTTCCTCGGGTTCTAGGCCACCAGTCAGGCAGGCAAACGAGATGGACGGTGAAAAGAAAAGGGAAGTACGGTGAATTCAACTATTTCCATATGATCTTCCACACATTGGCCTCACTCCCGTCTTCTCTCTTTGGCACAAGCCTAGGCTGAGGTGCGGGACGGCCACCCCCCAGCCTGGTGACCCATGTTAGTGCTGACAGCTGGGCGTCCCTTTACACCATCCCCTCATATGTTCACTGAGGCCTTGCGGATGGTGAAAGCCGGGGCCCCGCCTGGTTTCTCGTCCCACTCATAGCAATGGTTGACGCGGGCACAGCTCAGAGCGTACTCCAGCTCCCCTGCGTCTTCGTGGTAGCGCTCTATTAAGGCAGCAATACTGTCGAACTCCGTCATGCAGTTCTGATTTAAAGGATGAAACACAAACACACACACACACACATACACAAACAAACAGAGTCAGTAAATATCAATCATTCTAACAAAAACATAAGAAAATTACTACATTACATTTCATGTAATGTATGAATTACATTACATTTCAATTTTAGTTACACTGTTAACTGATATCAATTCCTTAAGTTTATGACGGCTTTAAAAATGCACTTACTTACATAATAATGTTCTGAGGGCAGAAGAAAAAAATGATTTTTTCAGGGAGATGAGCAATCAGATTGTAGAGGAGGCAGGACCAAGACATCTGATTGGTTGGTCCCACCTCCTCTAGTTGCTTGAACCCACCTCCTCTACAATCTGATTAAAGTAAAACTCCCAAGCTAAAAATGCAGTATATGGACAACGAAGTCATGCAAAGCAGCAATCCTCCCGTGCGATTTCCGGCCTGCTGTCAAAGAAGACCATGCCAATCTACCTCCAGCATGTACATATTCTCAGGGCTCTTCCTGATGGAGTAGGTGGCCAGACCGGAGGGGCCCCGGAAGGTAACGGACCCCCAGTTGGAATCCCCGGCTGAGGCAGATAAGAGGAAGGCACCCAGGACGTCCTCCTCCAGCAGAGATGAGCTGCTAGCTCTGAAAGGTAATGAGCAGAAAGGGTGAGATGGGGACAAACCCCGTCTAGGCTTTGCAGGGCACCCTGCCTTTCACCCCTTGAAGCAGCAATGGTCACATGGCCAGCGTTGCCATGGGCAACAAAGGGAATGCCGGCTCAAAATGAGGCTGGTGTTAGGGCCATAGAATCACAAGTTATAGCAAAGATTAAGGTCCGGCACAATACGGGAATTACACAGACATTTAACATTTTAAACTGACATTTTACAACAACCAAGACATTTCCCATCAGTTAATGTTACACCCAAGATTTCCGCCAGAGTGAAAAAAATGATGGTGGCTTTGAACATGGATAACCATTACTCACACGCACAAACGCACACGCACACGCACACAGACACAGACCTTGATATGCCCGCCCAGCTCCACACAGCTTCTGCTAGAGCCTCCTCAGTCTCTGCCAGGCTGGGCGACCGGCCCCTCGAGGCTTCCAGGCCGTTCTGTGTCTTTCCTGTTTTACACAGAAGTTCAAGGGGGGGGGGGGGTTGAGTTTGGGTTTCTCATCAGCTGCATTACATTCTCAAGGACCTCTTGCGAAGCTATTTCAGTATTTACATGCCTGTATTTACACGGGTTCCCCAAGGGAGGGGGGCGGGGCATAGCCAACCCAAACATCCTCTAGTCTGAGAATCGCTGTCAGTAGAAGGTTCTTGTTCAAATACAGGATGGAGTCAGCTGTTCTGGCAGCCCGTGTCCAGAAATGACAGGGCAGGGGGCTTCAAAGTACCAGTACCAGGACAGCAACAGCAGTCCGGGGACACATCAAAGACAAATGGATCCGCACCTTGCGATGAGGTCAGCTGGTCCTGCAGGTGGCGCTGTCTGTGGGGCGTGCAGGTAAAGGAGCGGTACGCTCCGGAGCGCAGCACTTTGTTGCGGATGGCTTTCTTCCGTACCAGGGTGGGGGAGGAGATCTGGCCCTCCTCCGAGCTGCTTGGCTGCTCTTCACTGGTCAAGGAGGAGGACTGTGACGCGGGGGGTGGGGGGGTAGTAGAGACGGTCACGGTCAATTAACTGGGTCTTGTATCTAGGGCTTGTGTTCTCAGATTTTCCTTTTTATCAAACATCACATAAATTCGTCTTACACTTCATTGAGTAATTGCTACTTATTTTTGGCATAAAAGATTAATAAATAGATTAATAAAGAAAATTAGCATAAAAATAAACTATTGCAGCTATAACAATGATTTACCTCAGTCTAAAGAAATTCAGTTTCACACAACTGAAAAATGTTTACATGTGCTGACATATATTTATGAGTTAAATGACTATATACAAGATTAATATTTAAAAAGTTCAAGGAGTTGCAGAATGAGGTTATGGGTTATTATGGGTTATCACTCTCCCCAGCTCACTGACACACATCTGTGACCTTCGACCTCATCTTCTAAAGGTCAGGGGATCAGCTGACAGGAAGTCTTAAGAGGAAAACTAAGTAACATGGTAACAGGCAAAGAGCTAAGCTCTAAAAACTGTTGAGAAACCAAACATGTAATTTTGCTGTCATGCATAACAAAGCAATAGTGCAAGGATCCAATGTTATGTAAAGAATGTTTTGCTTGTGCACATGACTCTTCATGGCTTTTAAAGGCTTCGCTGCCATTGCAGTAAAGCTGGATTACAGCCACATTTTCCTGTGGTGGGAACCAGTTCCACTTTAAGCTCCTCCCTCACTTTCTTCCTCGAACTTCTTCATCCCACAAGCAGGGACATGGCTGTGCCACCCTCAGCTTGAAGAGCTGCACCACGCTTACGGTGGAGGAAGCTGCTGAACTATAGTCAAGCTGCACGTCTCCGATTATAAAAAACAATTTCACAGCATGACTGATGTTTTCATCTGAAGGGAGCTTTTGTGTTTTTAAAAAGCTCGATATTCTGATGACTAACTGCCGTGCTACTTGCTGTCAAAATGTGGATGCTGTCTAGAGCAGGATTTTCCAACCAAGGAATTCGGAGTCCTTGGTTGCTTATATTTTTGGTTCAAGTGTGCTGGGTGGGAGCAAAAATCTGAACTGCCTGGGGGGGGGTTCTTGAGACCTGGGTTGGGAAACACTAGTGTAGAGCAGAGTTACCCAGTCTGATCCTTGAGGACCCACAGAAAGTCAAAAATGTGGATTGTCTGGCAGGGAGCAAAAACGTGGACTGACAGTGAGTTCCTGAGGACCAGATTGGGACAAAGCGGTGCTGAGCACAGTGAGTCATGGTCATCCTGGCCACCGCAGACCCCATGAGGCTGACCTTTTCCCCAGAGAGAAGGCCGAGCATGGGGGCCCGACGGAAGGACACCAGGGCGTTGACACTGAGGGGGAAGCCCTGGTTGAGGAGGTAAGGGGCATGAGTGGGCAGGGGGCTGACCACATCTTCCTCAACCTCCTCTGGGTGCCGCTGGATGTAGGATAACTGGAAGCAGCGGCACATCAGCAGATTCAGAAACTGGGCCTGTGATTGGATGGACATTGAAGGGGAGGAGACAGAAATTAACCCTGTGATTGGATGCGTAATCATCTATTATTGGTGCACACTGAAGATGAAAATCATGACATCATGCATGCATGACTGACATGCCTACATCACACTGGGACCCTTACTGCTCTGGCATGCCTGGCCCTGAACAGGTGACAGTAGAGCTGCGCATCTAGGCTGCCCGGGTTGTGCGAGACGAAGGCGAACTGCTCATCGGAGGGCCGGGCCATCGACAGGGACACCCTGCGCAGTGCGTGAGCCATTAACAGTGTCTGTAGGTGCAGTAGAGAGGATGTCAGCATACTCACCCAAAACAGAAGCTCACTGAATGGTCACAGCACTGACCAATGAGGACACAAATGAACGGGTTAAAAAACAAGCCAGGACCTTTAGTCACGCAAACCTCAAGACGCTTTCAATATTACACCGAGTGCTGGAATTTCCTCCACATTATTCTGTGATTTAAAATCCACAGTGAATAGAAGTGTTTAAAACCCAGGAGGGGGTCAGAGAGATGAGACAGTGGGCGAATCAGCATGAGTCATCCTAGAAGGGCCACACAAAGTATGCAGATGACGTTTCCGCCGTCTCCCGTGCATCTTACCGCTTCATCCTCGTCGTACATCTTGACCCCTTTGATGGAGAATTTCAGCGAGACCAGCCTTTGCCTTCGGGAAGTCTGGAGGGGAAAAAAAAAAGTCAATATGAATCAAGGTTCACCTGTAAGTTACACAACCTTCAGCTTATCGCCAAGCAAACAGACACACACATGTACCGAGCTAGCGGCTGCGTATTCTGACTCACTGGTCGGAGGTAGGCAATGACCGCCCCCTCACCTTTAGAGACTCCAGCTGTCTGTCCAACTGCTGGATCTGGTCGTCTAGGCAACGGTCATCCACATGAAAGGAACCCACATACTACAAATGGGGAAGAGGCAGAATTTTACATCACTTTCTTGCCTAAGTGTCTTTAACGAGAATTTCAAATCCTGTATATTTCTGGAAATTCTACCAATACGTGAAACTGCAAGCATTTATGTCCTTATCTCAGAACTGACCTGTGTTTTCTATTAAGTCACACCAATAATCTTAAAAAAGCAATGGTCAGATTGCCAATATGTACTGATGCTAATTAAAAGCACACATCATATTATTGATGAGATGAGGGTGTTATGTAAGGCACGCACGCCTTTTGTTTCCCCTGTGGAGTAACTTGCAAATCACAGGCACAAGATTTAATTAAGCGCTTGTGGAGAACAAACCGCACCTCTGCGGACCTCGTCACGGCGTCCTCTTCTGCGGCTGGAGCCTCTCTCATCCCCCGGCCGTGGAGATCCACCTCGCATCGACGCCCGGACGCCGCCGGCCGTTTACCTCTCACCTGCTCAGCTCCGGGAGCCTCCGGAGGCGACCCGGCGGTCTGCGCAGGCAGCCCTGCTTCTGACTGCATGAACTGCAAATCTGCAGCGCTTCCGTGATCAGCCCAAGCGCGATCCTCGGCGCGGAACCGAAAGTTAGTCTCGGCAAGGTGTGAATCGTTATACTGTAGGCATGACAGATCTGCCTCTCGTTATTTCCCTTTATTACAGTCTGTATACAAGTCCCTCCGATATCTAAATAACGTTGTGATTATTGTTTTATATACTGTAATACACACGCACCTAATTATACCTTATAAACACATAACGAGCGCCTGGATCAATAAAGTAATTATTATTATTATTATTATTATTATTATTATTATTATTATACATGTGCAACCATGAAATCACACCTGTTAGGTCTACATACGGCGAAAAAGAATAAAGCAAATCCTATTGGTAATTTTCTGTTTTATATCAAGTAGTAAATTGTGTAGCTAGACATTCATCCGTAGAAACTACAAAACCAACTCGTCAAATTAACTGTAATAGCTCATTATTTTACCCTCATTATACAATAGCATTACCTGACTGGATACAGTGTTGCATCATTTAAAAGTATGGTAAAGTAAGGACCTTCCTAACTCTCACACATTTTATTTTCATGCGAATTAGCGCCTCCACGATAAAGGGGCAAATTAAAGACATTAACATGATATCCATACCATCTCTATACGGTGATAACGACCAGGCTGTTCACGTTAAGAACGAATAGACTTGCACGCTGAACTGTGGTTAAAATATATATTTTGGGGCTGGGCACTACAACCCCAGTAACCAGTAAACAGCAAAAGAAACAGATAAAGCCGTGAACTCACTTCATAGATCAGGTTCTGCACGCCGCTTGGAGCGAGCTGGACTTTCCCCGAGTCTCCCAGCACAGACGATGCCAGTGTCTCTCGTACCGCCTACTCATATAATAAGACTGTATGGGCAAGCAGCTCTACAGTCGGAGACCCGCCTTGAAGCAATTTCTCAACCGCCTACAGTCCTTTTGTTCAATCAAAAAGTCTTTCAAAACGTCGAAGAACACATGCTGCGAATGGTGTGAACGACTCACTGGCTTCGCGATCAAAATGCTACATTTGTAACCATGTTTGAACTCCGCGATTTCAGCCGAATCTGGTTCTGCCCCGCCGACTCGGGGCGAGATCCGCACACGGGAGGCGACACGCCCGCGTAGATGTAACACGGGCGTCTGCAGAGGAAAATAGCAGCTTTAATTTGTATGAACTTGTCCTTTCCAAGGTGAGGTACCTTTGAACTTAGGCAATCCAAGTTGAATATACTACCTCTTTGTAAATACTGGTACTTCGGTTTCCTCTTTGGTGTTAGTGTGTCATATTGAGATTTAAGAAGCCACCGATCACAGTCCATCTGCCCTCTCTAGAGTCAAACCCGAATGACCAACGATTTTTATTTTTTTTGAAAGGCTACAATTACTTTTGCTGAAGTGCGTTTACCGTTCATGCAGTCGGATTTCAGGATTTCATCACCCCAAAAGGTAATCTATACTCCACAGCAGGCTGCACCTTTGGTAATATACTGTTGGTTTTATATTGCATTATTCCTACATCATTCGGCAATGATGCAATTCATAAAAAACAGGAAAAACATGAGTCAGTCAGCTACAGAAACCCCACCAGCTTCTCACAAGAACAACACGCCCAAATTTACTCTACCATTAGTGAAGTGCCAGGGATTTTACATTATGCAAGGAGGACCTTTTAGATTTAAAAAAGCCTTTTGTGAGAAAACGTCTATTTTCGAAAGCCTCTTGCCATGAATTTTGTTAGACATAGGCCTAATATTTTTCTCAGTGCTAAGATCCCATACAATTTGTGGCTCAACACGCAGACGGAGCATTAATTTACAACGAGCTCATTCAAAACTAAGGAGTGTTAAAAAAATCTATTACTTATATGGAATTATGTGTTTCTTAAAGACTGCTATTTGCAGTAAGCACACAAATCACATCTGAATAAAATGTTAATTACCAGACTTCGCTTCCTAATAAAACTATTCGAATTTACTTCCATCATACAACTATTAATGTTATGAATGGTGACGGTACTCATCTCTTCAGCAGGTACAGCAGGGCAAAGCCAGAATTACCGTAACTTTTGGAAAAGGGCAACAAAATCAGTGGCAATAAATGAATAAATGTACAAATATAGTCACTTTTATTAATGACTAAATAAATGGGCATCACAACTGAAGAATACGGGCATGCAAAGTATCTACGAGCAAGGCTCTTTCTAAAAACTGGTGGTGATCACAGTCAGTTACTAATACATACAACGTCATCCATCTCCCCCCCGTCTAAAGCGGTTCTGTATTTTACACAAAATTACTAAACTGAATCTTCTGATTTTTTTTCTTTCCCGGTGAGCTTTATTACTAATGCAAATTTAAAAAAAAAAAAAAAATCTCCAACCCAGGCTTTCCCTAAACGGCGGTTTCAGGACTTCCACTTAAAGAAAAGAAAAAAAAAAGACAATTGTGCGCCCCTATTCACAAGAAACTATAACCCAATACTAAACGCCAGTCCATCGCTTCTGTAACACTATTTTGAAACCAGATTTAAGATTACACAGGTAACCGCGCCCATCTTCCATCAACAGATGAAACTTCACAAAACGAACTATATGAGAGTCATCACATTCGTGTGTAAGGGGTAAACGAAATTAAGTTTTATTAATAAAATAATATGACTTAAAAAAAAATCTTCAGCCTTCCCTGTGAACTACTATATTGGAAGAGCAGTCACCTTAACATAATTTATGTCCTTTCACTTTCTAAATATGCTATATTAATAGGGGGAAACCAGTATACATCTCATATTAATATACGAACGGAAGGACTGGGAAAACATAGCTATGTATCGTGAGCTTAGAACTGCCTCAGCACATCTTTATTATTATAATAGATTTTTACATTTATCCTGCTGGGGGGGGGGGGGGGGGCAATGTTGTAATGGGCACTTTGTTTACTGTTTACATATGACTCTAATAAAATAAAATAAAAAATGAAAACGGGTAGGGAAGTGGATACGGATAAGCAGCTGATAGAGACGGCGAACCTCTATCAGCCCACGGAGCTTATTTGCGGGACCGCAGAGATCGGAGAGATTTCCGCGACACCGATTTGGCTTTGACGGCCGATTTCGGGGGGGCCTTTTTGACGGCCGTCTTCCTCGCTGCCGGCTGCGTGCGGGCCTTGCTGGTAAGCTTCTTGGCGACTGGTGTTTTGGGCTTGGCAGACGACCCTGCCCTCTTGCTGGCGGCGTTCCGGGCGGCGGCTGCCTTGGTGGGCGGGGCTTCCTTGGTGGGCGGGGCTTCCTTGGCAGCCACCTTGGCGGCCGCCTTGGGGGCAGGCTTCCGAGCTGGGGGGGTCGGCTTCTTGGAGCGACCCACCGGCCTCTTTGCTGGGGGAGGCTTCTTACCCTTCGCCTTCACCTGACTGGCCGGCCAGCGCTTCTTAGTGGTGGGGGGCCGCGGCAGCTTGGCCGGACGCCTCTTCTGTTTCCTGGGAACGGCATTGGACACATGAGGGCGCTGCAGCCAGGCAGAATCCTGCAAGCTTTGTGACTGGAAGACCAATCGTTTAGCCCAAGATCAGGTCAATGCTCCAGTGATTCACCAAATGATGAACTCATCCACAAATCTCAGGGATGTCAAACTGCAGTCCTGGGGGGCCGGAGGCCTGCACATTTTTGGGTTTCCCCTCATTTAACACACCTGATTCACCTCCTTGTGCTAATTACCATACAGCCCTTGAAATGAATCATTTGTGGTGGAACAGGGAAAAAGCTGAGCTACACAGGGCTCTGGCCCCCCGGGACTGCAGATTGACACCCCTTTTCTATTTGTTCTGAATCATGTTCACCACACAATATTCAGGTGTGGACCTTCCATTACAGTAATGCTTTGAACTGGAGATCAGCCACTGATAGCTTGAGTTCCAAAATGACATTTTTTGAGCAATGTTCAGAATACTGAGGGTCTAAACTGGCTTTAACACAAGAAAATGCATTTGCCAATTATCCACCCAATAATCGCTGTTAATCAGTGACAGGTGTTTAGCTCTGATCTGAGACTCATGGAGACAATGACCAGGGGTGGGGGCCGGAGCCCTGTGTAGCTTAGTTCTTTCCCTGTTCCCCCACAAATGATTCAGCTCAAGGGCTGTGTGGTAATTAGCACAAGGAGTTAAATTGGGTGTGATAAATGAGGGGAAACCCAAAAATAACCAGGGGTCAGGCGCTCCAGGACTGGAGTTTGACACCCCGGCCTTAAACCTTCAAGAAGTCATACTCTTCACTCAAAACCTAATTACTGCTGAACAGCGCCCCCACCCTCTCATCACCCATATTCCAGCATCACAGATATGATGCCCAGCAATACCGATTTTCAGATCTAGGCTGACCTCTTACTGGACTTTTGTGCCTGCCGTTCTAACGTCCACATCAATGAGTACTTCTCTTCAGGATCAGTTGCCCGTTATGCTAAACACTATCATCAATGCACCTTAAACTCCAGTGATGTTGTACTGGTAGTGAAAAGACTATTTTAGTAGAATGACCACAGCAGTCTGTCTTAAGGAGGAACACAGCTGGCCCAAAGCGAGGCTCCGTTTCCAAGGCTAACAAGCCAGACACGCTATGAGTTCAGATTCAAGAACACTCATTTGTGATGAGACTCTGCACGCCTTAACCAACCCAAGAACCAGGAAGACTCTAAATAACATAACACCTACATCTATAGGGCAGTAGTGCTCTCACCCACAGCGTACACCTAAGCAACTTCAGCATCTTCTATGCGCTTCCTGCTTTAACATACACGCGTGATGAAAACCTGACCAAACCCACCCCCACACTGCAACTAGGTATCACAACTGCATAAGTGGTTTCACTCACAATGGTGCTCACATTTGACACAGATGAGCCTCCTCTTTTTATGTATCTGTTAAAAGCGGCTACCGTATTGCGTACGTACATTACTAATATTTACGATCTTTGTAGTACTGCTGTTAGTCGTTGCTCTTTATATCTTTATACAGCATTTGTAGCACCATTTTTTGATTGCGATGAAAAATGTGGCATGTGAATTACAGATACTTTTTTTTAAATAACCTTCCCTTTGAGACATAGTGCCTTTTGTACCTTCATGACCCATCTGCTTCATGAGTTAAGCACCCCAAGAGTATAAGCCACAAGAACGGCATTTGAGGGAGGGATAATTAATTAGGAGGAAAAGTTCTCGCATCAAAAAAAGTATTGTTATTCAAAGGGGTAAAGAAGTCATTGGCTCTGATCTTAGCCAAAAAAAAAACCCACATCACTAATTATGCACTAATCGCACTCAATCAGCTAATTTCATAAAAATAGCCCAAGGGCTACATGAAGTGCAGCCCAAAGTGTGTAAAGTGTTTTGGGGACTTTTCAGATATTTTTTTCTTTGTCTTCCAAGATATCCAGGTGTACCATTGGTCAGGTGTTTCTGGAAGCTTTTTTGAATTAAAATGGAATGATCCTACTGCTGCCACAACTTAAAGACTCACCTCTTCTTAGGAGGAGGTTCATCCTCCTCATCTTCCTCAGACTCCTCTTCAGACTCGTCTTCCTCAGACTCCTCCTCCTCAGAGTCCTCCTTCCTCCCACGCTTCCGCTTTCCCGGCTCTGGAGTGTTCTGTTTCTCTGGGAACAGGACAGCAGGACTGTGGAGGAAAGAGACCTAGAAGGTTAAGGCATCAGCACTTTATTACTGAAACCCAAGACCCAGCAGTACAAACAAGTATAGGTTTGTGGGCCTCAGTCAACAACCGCAAATCAATCAATTCTACCTGCATCATTCTGCGAGAGATTCTACGTTACTTTGGACACAAGGCTACATCAGGACGTAAAATTCAGCCCAGAACTCTGGGATTCCACGTGATAAATTCTGCCCTCTGGGAAAATGATTGCTATAGACAGAAATCTTGGACCAGGGACCCCCCCCCCTACTGATGCACACACACTTTTCTTTTAAGGCAAGAAATTTTAATCTATTTATGCTGAAAGACTGTGCGGTCCCATCCCCTCCCTTACACATGCCAAGGAAATAAAAAATGAATATCGGACATGAACAGAAACAAAGGTGTCATACCCCAGCACAAAAATGTCCTTTTGGGGATAAATAAAGTACTCAGAGTCTGAATACTTCTGACCCCCAGGAATAAACCCACATACCCAAGCCTGTAGGGCCAGGCAATATCATATCGATATTATATCGTACATGCACAACAATCACCAGGGTTTCATATGACGGGCGAAACATTTGGCCGGAAACCAGCCTTTCGGTACTATATGGATGTTTACGCTTACGATTTGTTAAGCAGGTGAATAGTATGACTAAAATATTAACGAGGCATTTTATGACGCCCAAAAGTTCGTAAATTCGGCATATCCTTATTTATAATAAACGTGTTAGACTTAAAACTGCAAAAAGTGCGCCGACGTGTTTTTACTTTGTTTATCCGCAAGATCTCCTCTTTTAAAGGATATCGTGGCTGCTGAGCCGTTCCTTTCTTCACTGACCCTTCAGTGCAAATCGCACTAAAGTATACCACACATAGTATACCACACATAGTATACCAAAACAGCATGATGTGGTTTGCTCCGCTAACCAAATCTAATAAAGATTGCTAAGCTTTGGGTGCCACAAAATGCATTGCGATATTTTAGCAGTATTACTAATCTGCTTACCAAATATTGGGCGTAAATAAATGCCGGTATAGTATCGAAAAGATGCCGTCCGGCCAAATGCTTCGCCTTTCACCTGAAGCCCTGGTGATTATTGCGCATGCGCCATAATATACATATGATATCGCCTGGCCCTACAAGCCTGACACTCTTTCCTTTTGGTATCTAGGCAGCTGGACACTCACAGGCTGGTCCAAATGAACACAAAACGCAGACACCCTACCTTGGGTAGTAGGGGTAGCAAAGCTGGTAGCTTCCATTCAGGCCATTTCCAGTGATTTGCTCCATCCAGCCCATCATCTTGCACCTCTGAAGGGTCCTCTTCAGGTTCCCCACTATTGAAAGAAACAGGAAGAGAGTAATACTGCAGGCAGTACCTGAGAACCGCACCCAGACATGCTTGCCTTGCTTCAGTACTGAATGGTCCCTACTTACATTAGAGAGAACAGTTTAAAAAAAAAACAGGGTAACAAATCGTTGGGTTTGGATTTTCTTTTCCTTAAAGCAAAGCACCAACAACACCAACACCGCAAACAACACCAACACTCTCAGGACATCAGGAAAATTAAACCGCCTTCTAGATGTCTAGAAATTGTACTTTTGCCAGAAACCAACAAATTTGTTGCAGGTTTTCCTGACCTTCATGTCAAGACCAGTCTCTTAGTTGTTCACCTCTATGTGTTCAACCTGTGTGGCACTACTGGACAGGGCCTCGGTGCGAAAACCAAGGAGCTTACCCAAGTTGTAGACCTTGCTGTCCTTGTGAGTCTCCAGGAGGAACTTGCGGAGGGTCACAATGCTGCACGTTTTGGGCTCATTCATGGCTGTGATGGCTGTCACGATGGCATCTTCCAGTGGGCCCCCTTTCAGAAGGGGCTTGTCCCCAACCCTCTTCAACTGAAAGGGAGGGGGGCAATTTCAGAGCTCATGAACTTTCCCCTCTGGTCGGAGCAGAGACCGGTGAGGCATACACACTTCCTATAAGCTGTAAAAGCCACAAAATCATCCAATCATTATCCTCTCTTAAGAGGGAAAAGGTTAGAAAATGTACTTTGCCAGAAACCAACATGCATACAGGAGCTGTCGCCAAGTGCAAATAACTTCTAAGCTCATGTCACGGCTGAAATGGGCCAGGAAAAAGTGGCAGAAGACCTGGAATGTGCCAGAAGCTCCCTTGCCGGTGATCTGCTCCAGGTGACCTCGCTCCACAGCTTTCTGCAGGGCACTCTTCAAGACGTCTGGCCTGGAAAAGAACAGAGGGCTTTGGGAGTCTCCACAAACACCCTAAACACCATGATCAACGCACATCGATTCCCGTGACCTCGCACTGGAAGTGAATGCTTTCAGAGGCTTGACCACAGCAGTCTGTCTCAAGAGGGAAATTAATCTGACTACTGCGCTTTTTTGAATTCAAGTTAAGACTCTAGTCTAGTAAATTTGACCTCCTAACTATGGCATATAGGTGTAAGCGTTAAACCACACAGATTCAATGTCCGATAAACTCCTACCACAATGATGTTAAGAACAACAGTGGATTAAAAATCCTGAAAGTCCAGCCCCCGGATCGACCTGTGAAGCAAAGGTACCTCTGCTCGACGTTGAGCTGCGGGAAGTGCTGCTCTAAGTACTTCTTGATGAGGAAGTAAGAAGCTTCCTTGGGTTCACAGAGGCGGGTGATGATCAGCGGAAGCGAATCGCCGAGCGGCTCAGCTTTCTGCAGACAGATGAAGGCGGAGGGTGGGGGGGGTTTCGTACATTGGCTAACTGCGGGAATGTCTACTGGTCAACCGTATAGGCGTCCCTTCACCAGGCGTGACAAGGAGCAGTTAGCTAGTCTGACGAGGTTATACCTTGGTGGATTTTGACTGCTTGTTAACGCTGAAGCTGCCAGAGAATCCCTTCCCCTTCAGCTGCAGGGGGGACACAGAGAGAGGCATCAGTCAAAACGAGCACTTCTCATGGGCTTCTATGGTTTTTGACCAAGCCACTGCAAAACTGTCCAATCGGCTGGACTTTCACAGAAAGGAGATTAGAGATCAGGCTGAAGTCCATCTCCGCTGCGTACCATGAAAACTCAGAAAAACAAAGAAACACATGGATAAAACCACTATCACTGTGTCAATAAGAAAAACGGGAATGGATGATGTTACTGGTCACAAGTGTCTGAAAGATGGCTCCAGGCTTATCCACTAGCCTGTCCAAGGTAAGTGACTGCAGTATGGATGGACGGATGGATATTTCTGAAAAACCAAGACTGGAAAGAATGGAAGGAGCTCCCGATTGAGAAAGTGACTGTACCTGCTTCACCACGCCTTTCTGCACCAGGCGTGTCAGGGCCTTCTTCAGGAGAAACTTCCTCTTCTCCAGCTCCAAGGACGCATACTTCTTCATGATGTACTTCGTGACAGCAAAGGAGGAAGCCCCCGACTTCTCCTGACAGGCCTGTGAAGGGAGGCAGGTAAAAACAACAATGAACAAAGCAAACACTAACAGGTCCTCGGCCGATGGAGGGGGGGCTGCTCGCGCCCCTACCTCATCACCGTTTTTACTGAACCCAAGTTCCACAGATGCACCCAGTGGGGGAAAAAAAAACTACTGTTTATAGAAACGCGGCTGAAAAAGCACCCTAACCCTGCACAGTGAAACTAATCTCTCTTAAACCTAGATATGGCGAACACTGGTCAAGTGGGACACATATGTTTGATACACTATATCAGGGGTGTCAAACTCCTGTCCTGGGGGGCCAGAGCCCTGCACATTTTTTGGTTTCCCCTCATTTAACATACCTGATTCTCCTTGTGCTAATTACCACAAAGCTCATGAGCTGAATCATTTGTGGTGGAACAACACCTCTGTGGGGTATTAACTTAAGCTCAGATCTTTGGCTTTCAATAATAAATGCTTTAATATTTATAATTAGCATCATATTTTTAAAGTGATAGAGCAAGTAAAATTATCCCAGTTTACCAATATCCACCTTACTCTTAACAGGTCAACTTAACAACAACAGGATTCCTATACACATCCCATGTTAAAATTCCACACTGTATGGGGAGGAGAGTGACAGCAATTTCCCATCTTGTCCTTGCCAGGATCTGCCACTGGCTGCATCTAGACAGTGATGCTTTAGACATAGAGATGTCGAACGGCACAAAAAACATTATGGAAATAGAAAGTCATTTTTTCCCTCCATGACAAATATGGACATCAAAGCCAAAAATGAGCCACCGAGATGCAGCAGTGAAACTACAATAAGCGCTTTGAGACAATGCAACGTTGTGAAAATGTGCTATATAAATTGAACTGAATATTTACGTACAATACTGTATTTTAGCATATTTGAATTACACAGTTCCATAATTTAATTTGCACAGTACTGTAATTTGAAAAGCGTTTCAAACAACGGTACTGTATTATGAAATCGTCGATAAAATTAAATAGCGACATTGTCCGTTTTATTACATTATATTCATGTAATAAATACACAAATGTCAATTAAACTGCCTGAGACATAAAGAAAAAGAAAGATAATCTGCTTATAGTGATCAATTTCACACAGACAGATGTGATCACTATAAAAGACGTTTCCACTGTATTAGTCAATGCCAAGCAGCTGAAAACTTGCATTTCCCTATTGTGAACATGCTACATGGCAAGATAGCCTACATCAATATTTCCTACCCACCATCCTTTATGTGGGACGCTGCTCTTCACTATGTGGACATTCTGGTGCCGACATCTCGCTCACATCGGTGATTTCATCGAAAACATTAATAAGTAAATTCTGATGTTTAGAATAGACAGTGGGCCAGTTTGTTGCAATAGTGTGGAAACATTTCCATACTTCAATCTAATAACAACATGGAACGTCCCTTTGAAGAGACGGGCTGTGCGGGGGATTAGAACATATTCACACCTGGATAGCTTCGATGAGGATGTCATCCACCTTTGGCTGGTTGTACAGGGACACGACAGCCTTCTGGGTGGCGGGACGGCGGCTGGACGACATAGTCGCCCAGGCAGGGATGGTCCTTTTTATCTTCCTGACCTTCTCCTTCTCTTTCCCAGCATCCTTTTCTCTACAACATGGACCAAAAAGAAACATGTTAAGGCAGGGGTAGCAAAAATCATACAGATTAAAAATATATATTTCTTTGCACCATCCACCACTGTTAAGGACTTAAAAAACTCCCGTTTCATGCAATCAAAACAGAATTAAACACGCACATTTTTCTTCCTCCAAGTGGCATGCTTGAACAGTACTTCGACATAATCAAATTTATCTGCTTAGCGAAAGCACTTTTTTATTAAAGGCAACTTCAAACTGACCCATTTATATGTCGAAAGATTTACTGGAGCAGCACAGGTCAAGTATCTGACTCAAAAGTACAACAGCAGGTCTCCTCCTGGGATTTGAAACAGCAACCATCAGCTGCACTGTACTTCACTACCTGCCTCCCATGCACTGACAACGGGTCCAATTCACCAATAAGTGGAACAGACAGGTAGCTATCACATTTACGAGACGAAGGAAGGGCAACGAGTGGCTCACGTTTCTCCCTTCTCCTCCCCGTCACCAGCTTCCTCTGCCTCTCCCTCCTCTTTCTTCTCCTCTTCCACTGCCTTTGGGGTCTCGCCGTTGCCCGTCTTGTCGACCGCCTCCTTCACGTCTCCTCCGGCCTCAGAGGCGGCAGAAGGAGCCTCCTGCTCCTCTCCCGTGGAGGCAGATTCCTCTGAGCCAGCATCAGGCTTAGCTAAGTAGATGCATAGACGAAGGGCACGGCACCAGAAATTTCCATTAAAAGCAACCAATTAAATTAAAAGTACTGTGCCAATCTAACCCAGCAGTGGTAGTGGCGATGGGGGCAAATTGGAAGTCCCACTAAAGATGGACTAGGTAACCACAGAAGATGGTCCTCAGTCAGTATTGGAATATCCTAATTCCTACCTCTTTCTGGAACGTTCTTAGGGGCGGTGTCCTGGGGCGCAGTCCCAGCTGCACGTCGAATAGGCATGTCTCAAACCTGTCGACCAAATGGATGAAAAAAGGTGAGGCTCTGTCAAGGTAACGATCCTATTTGCCGAACTGGTTCTCTAGCATGATTGGCCAGCATATTTTACATATGTCACCACAGAAAATCTTTGGCATTACTTATGGTTTTAATTGTAACTTTTTGTTTTGCAATGCGTATATACCACAACTTGAAACTTTTGCCAGATAGTGCAATTAAAGCAAAACAATTTTAAGTTATTTAAATGTGACAACCTTGTGTACAAATGAGACGTGCGAATCTTCGGAATGACGTGCATTTTAAATAATAAATGCATGAGCTAACAAGAAAAACAGTGTTCTTTTATCAGCCGTTAAAATAAATATATTTATTTAAACAGTCCAGTGGCGTAAATATGGCCAGATTCGGGGATTTAAGTTACAGATGTGCAACAAGCTAACCCATAACGTGCATAAGAAAAGCATAAAATATTTATCAATTTGTATTTCGGAAACAATGACCACGGGCAATAGTGTCGCTTTCTAAGACTTAACTGGTCGCCAATCTAGTTTGCGAGTTGAACAGCTTTGTAAATTTTAAGCAACGTGCAACAATGCAGATGCCAATTACAGCGCATCTCTCGATGGAATAAGCCGAATATTCTCCATTTTGTCCATTTTCCTGTACCGCACAGTAATGGCGTTGCAATGAGCCGATGTTAAATGCAAGGAGTTGGATAGCAAAGGAAACAAACACTATTATAACATCGCGATTACGCGCCACTTGCGGATTATTTTTCTCCCACATCAAAAGATGCACACCTTTATGGAAATCCGCATTTCCTTTCCTTACCTTACCTTTGCAACGTTTTAATCAACGCGTTTGTAATGAAACGGTGCTCTCGCCTTTATTTAGAATCGCATCGGCTCGCGTGCCCCGCCCCCCATCACCGCCCCCCTTGAGGCGTTAACGTCGTGGCGTCACTGCGCAGCGTGCGGAGCGCGCTCTTTGTCTTGGCTTGCGCACGGCGCACAAGTACGTGAATCAGTGCATCTGATTGGCGGCTTGGCCCGTTCGTCCGCGCGCACTTACGGTTATTCAAACAAAAAAAAGAAATAATACCCTTACCGTTTAAAATCTCTGATTTTGTCATGTAGTCCTACATAAAAGCTGTGACCCATGCTTTGACAGCTGTATTCATCAACAGAATTATGTGGTACGCAGGAAGTTCCTTACCTCAACACAGGTAACACCTTTCACAAAATTTAGACTACAGCATTTGCATCTTAATGACAGCCATTTACAACATTACACAAGTCTTAAAAAGACTAACTTATCATTTCATAGCAAAGACCTAGGAAGTGTCTACCGTTTTACTGGAGTTTTTCTTTCCTCTGGGAAACTTGCCCTCCAGGTGGCAGTAAGGCTCTTGCGGACGGGACAACTGCTGTTCGTACCTGCTTTTGATGGGACAGTGGATTTGATCATACACCGCTGAAAACTGCAGAAGAGTAAGGTATTGGTAATTTCTGAATTACGTAGAAAAAACCTTAGTTTCGGAAATGTATGACTTTATGCGTTTTAAATTCTGCAGGTGACCCTGCCAACGAATTAACCATATTTTGAAATGTTTTGAAAACATTCCCCCATTACGACGACCAACATGTAACCGATTAAAGCTTTCTTCATAAAACAAATCGGCCGCACACGGGCCAAACGTGTCTGATACAGAAGACATACGGCTCCCTAAACCTTGTAACCCTCTGGAACAGCAGCAAAACTCGGTCCTAACGGCAGCAGTCAATTCAAGTATTTGCACATTCAGTATTACTTCATTCAAAAATACCAATTAAATACTAACTTGTGAATCAGTGACTAATGTAACATCCAACACCCACCTACAGCCTAAAACTAATTTTTCATCAGCTGAAGATTAGATCAGAAACTTTAAAAGGTACTGAATACGGTTTCCTTTGTTGGGCATCTGGGAGGAGACACGTACTGATGCATTATACATCTGCATTATGTAGGATATCGGATGTCCTGCCTTCCTGGACAGGTGGCATTCAAATAACCTGAAACCCTGTGCAAAGAATCCACATGGACTCTACTAAAACTCATTATTTTGCTACTTCCTAATGCCATTGAAGAACTACAGATTTGGCCTAGAGATGGTTACTCGGTTGATTAAATAATGAGATGTGTGACACACAGACCATATTACAGAAAAATCAGAAGGCTATTTCTGAAAGTTCATGTACTTCAACATACCATCTCGGGATTAAAAAAAAAAGATTTAGGCCTTATTCGATTATGTCCAAGACATTTCAGTTTCTCTCTAAAGATGCATAACTGAAATTAATACATGTTAAAGCATCACAGGTCTGTAATACGTTTTTTTGTGCTTCAGTTGGCAAAAAAATAATTTCATGGGTGGCAAATTTAGAACCAAGAAAATACCTGCTATAAAATAACACACATGCGAAACACAAACACCAATACGCCCACATTTTTCTTTTTTTAAATAACATTTTGTCTTTAATGTATTTACAAGCTTTAAATTTGCTCTACAAGTCTGTATTATGACAAGCATTCACGTTCAGGAGCCATTGTGTTGTTGAACTTCTATTTCGTTAATTGTTTTTGCGTGTCCTTCCTTGTTCTCTGAACTGTTTTTGTCAACTGCGGCGTCTCCAGAATGCACATATGTGCTTTTTTGAGGAATATATACACATTTCATACAGAGCAAGCGAAAACAGAGGGAGCAGTCCTTGTGGTTATTTAATAACCTTTAATCCCTGACCTTTCTCCCTCAGTCCCTGTCATTTCTCCCTGCTTTCCCCCTTATCCTCCAAAAAAATAAATGTTAATTTTACCCTGTATTTCAATCAAGCACGTGGAATTCAGGGGGGATTTTCGCTTCACAATTGTTAATATTATTTCTGTTATCGCTGATGTTCTCCTGAAGAGCACCTGCAAAAGTTAAATAAACTTTAGTATTTGCAATTCTTAAAAAAATAATAAATTAAACATTTCAAATCCTATGAGAACTCTTGCAAAGTAATTGCATTGTTAAGTCCTTTCTTAAAAAGTAACAAAACAGAGTTAAAATTTAAAACAAAACAAAAAAATCCTAATAATATACATACTCAGCACGTGCCCCGACCACCACCCTGGAACTGAAACTGAATGATCCAGTACCAGAAGTTTAATATTAATATTCATCCAGAGCTATGCTTTCCAGTTTGGTATCGCTTCGTCTCCACGAGGCAAATATTGTTCTGAGCAAAAAAATAAATAATAATAAATGGCCGTGCTGCACGGGATGCTGGGGAGGCTGCTCCCCCGCAACTCCCTCCAACCGGCCCCTCCCCTTTGTCAATTGTCTTCAGACTCCTCCTCGGCCTCTCTCAGCCAGGTGAAGAAAGCCGTGACAGACTTTAGGGCCACCCCCTTGCCCCTCTGCTCTGCGGGGTCCTTGCTCGTCTCCCATTTGTAGAACGCGTCCTCCGAGATCACATCCTCGTCATACAAGCAGTCGAAGAACATGCGCAGCAAGTCTGGGGGTGGAAGGGGAACATGGGGGTATTTTACAAAGCAGTTAATGTGACCAACAAGACTAATACTGGAAAACACAATTAGTTTCCAGAAATTTCTAACTGGCCTCTGAAGTAGCAGATATTTCACTACAGGGATCTTTGCATGTAGGTGCTTTAAGCAGTGTGGCACTCGGAGAAAGGCTACTCACTGGGAGGCTGATCGAGGGAAACCATTAATGCCTGGAGTGCATAAAGTGCTTGCAGCTGTCGCTCAGTGTCTGAGTTAAGGTACTTGAGTAATACAGGCAATCTCCTCTGGATTATGGAAGTATCAACCCTACAGGAAGTGCTCTCGCCTAGGTATGGAGAGAGAGAGAGCTTGTTAGCTAGAATCTGCCCACCTTTACAAACCTTGCGTGAATGTTTGTCATTTAATGCTCAGCTTCACTTGCGCTATACAGTTCTGGAAAAAATTAAGAGACCGTAGCACTATTTGTGTTTCACTCATTTCTCAATTTATTTGTATGCAAATGTGTAAAAGATGTGTTTTTTTTTTTGCAACCTCCAGCCAGGCTCATCCCTGTTTCTCATTAATGAAGGGCTTCTTCCTTGCTTTGTGGGACTTCAGTCCTGCTTCTAGGAGCCTGATACGAGCTGTCCTAGCAGTGCACTTCACACCTGCACTTAATGTTCCCCATTCCCTTTGAAGGTCACTTGATGTCATCCTACGATTCATGAGAAACTGTCGGATAAGTTGACAGTCACCTCTGGCATTAGAATGTCACTTCTGCCCTCTGCCTGGCTGGTTTCTGGTCGTTCCCAGTGCCCCCTGTTTCACCTTGTTCTTGTGTGCTGCTCTCTTACAAATTTTGAGTCTGGAAGCAACCTGCTGCTCAGTGTAGCCTTCTGCCAGCAGAACCAGGATAAAACCAGGATTTAAAAATGCTAATTTTTTTCTAAAAAAAAATAAATATGGAGTGGTCTCAATTTTTTCCTGAGCTGTATCATTAAAAAGCTTTCATACATTAATGTGACCTCATGTAAACACAGACCTGTGCTGAGGCAATATTTCATGGAGGCTGCACCAATCAATCGACCATAATTTTTCCTCACAGTTAAATTACAATAATATGGGATATTAACAGAGTTGATAGGTGTCAGGCCTGATAGCATCCCAAAATGTTCTGGTCCGCATTACTTAAATACTCAACCTAACACACCGGTCCAAACCAGCACCACTCTTACCTCTCACAGCGGCCTTGCACACTGCAGTCATTAATGCTCTCAGGAAAGGAGATGAACTCATCTCAGATTCATCCATATTAGCCTACAATGTCGTAACAAATGCAGGAAGTCAATAATGACTGCATAATAATGAAAAACTGCAGACGTATCTGCGTGGCAGCACCCTGAAGTACCTGATAAATGTTTATAAACAGTTATAAATTAAACTAACCACTGTCAACAATTACTCCGTATTTCCTAGCTGCGTGCCATATACGATGCAAGTTGATTTAGAAAATGAAGGCAGTAGAAATTTTTAAGTTTAATGGTTAACAGCAGTGTTTTCCAATCTGGTCCCTGAGGCCGGTCCACATTTTTGTTCTCTCCCAACTCCCGAAAACATAGACTGTCTGTAGGTTCCCAAGAACCGGACTGGGAAACACTGGTTTACAATATTGTCTAGAGCACTGGTTTCCATACCTCAACCCAGTCAAAGATCTGCTCATCACTTGCCCCATCCTCCAAGAGGAGCTTCTCCAGGTGCTCACTGATCTCTTCTGGGGAGAGGGCTGTCTTGGAGAGGGTGGTGGCCAGATTCAAAAAGCCTGGAGTGGTGAATTCCAGTTTCTGTGGGAGCACAAGTTGTTCAAAGGTATGTTGCTGCAACCCTGAGGTGAGGTGAGGTGGGGGTTGGGGGTGGCGGGGCAGCCTCTGGGGCTCTGCCTCACCTGTTTAGAGATAAAGGCCTGCACATCCTCTCCCTCCGGGAGGAAATCACTCCAACTCAACCCAGACTCCCTCCATAAGGCCGCGACTTTTCTATGGCTCTGTGACACAAAAGAGGATTCCCCAAGAGTCCCGCACACCCAAGGTTTGGCTTCAGAACAAACCAGAGCTTGCCACTTTAACCAGTCACAACCAACCAAAAGAGTGGTGAGTACCACTTCCTGGTACTTCACTGCAGTCCTACTCAGCGGCCATAGTTATTTTCAGCCATCATTAATAGTTAAAGATAGACACCAATAATTATGGCCAAAGGATCCCTTATTAGCAGGTGGTTGACATATTTCGGTTTCCTAAACAACTTAAATTAATCATGAAGTGGACACTTGATGAATTTATATAATGAAAAAAGCCTTGATTCTTAAAAACTGACAGATAGCAGAAATAACTATGCAACTACTCTAAGCTCATGGGAGTTATACCAACACAAACATGTTATGAGGGCAGAAGGAAAAATGATTGGTTCAGAGAGATAACCAATTAGATTCTAGAGGTGGTGGGTACAAGCAACTAGAGGAGGTAGGACCAAGACATCTGATTGGTTGGTCTCACCTCCTGTAGTTGCTTGGACACACCTCTACAATCTGATTGGTAATCTCTCTGAACCAAAAATTTTTCCTTCTGCCCACAGAACATTTTGGTGTAAGTAAAACTGCCGCAAGCCCAATCTGCCAAAAGACTTTCTGAGAGGAATAACTCACCATTTGTTTGCATAGTAGGTGCAGTATTTCAGAAAATAATATCCCTGCTCTTCCCACAGGAAGAAGAAATTTGCTTAATTCACTGCAGACACACAGGGAAAAACAAGAATATACTTAACATTTGATGTGTTAGCCAGCCAGCTGAGTTCTTTTGTACTTTGCATTTTCACCTGAGTGGAATCACTTTTAACAAAAAACTCCAAAGTATCAAAATAAAAAGTGAGATAAACAGAAATTGGCATGAAAAAGAACAGCATCAAGGTATCAAGGTTCACTTTTAAGTTTGTTTGTGCTTTTTGTTGTGAGATTTTGAGTGGTGCACTGCAAGCTGACTTAAGGTATGGCGTCAGACAAATTCAAGGACAAAAGTATGAAAACCATTTTCTTAACTAGCTGGCAAAAATACTCCAGTTTAGGAGTAAAGTTGTGTCATAGTATCATTATCTTCATGTTATTCTGCAACTCACATTGAAAATCTGTTTCTGTGACAAAACCAATACCAAGAATGTGACTGTAAGAAGGACTCAATGCTGAAACTCTGGGGGGGGGGGGGGGGATCTCCCTAATCCCCCACTTAAATCATCCCTGCTGCAGGCCCGGCTACCCCTGTTCAGTGGCACTGCAGCCCACTGCAGTTTCTGACCCACTGTGGCAGGTGTGGGGATTGGGGGACACGCCCAGCGGCCCCGGGTCCCCTCATCCCAGCGGGGCACATGAGGCGGAGCTTACCTAAAGAGCTGCCTCATAGAGAGGCCGCCGTCTTGTAGGACGGGACTCAGGAGCTGGGCCAGGTACAGCCAGACGTGGGGAATGTCGATAGCCATGTCGTCAGCCAGCTCCAGCGTCTCGCCGAACCTGAGGGATGGAGGGCAGGAGAGAAGGTGGAGAAGCAAAGAATGTGGAAAGTAGGAAAAGAGTGCAGAAATGATAGGAGAGGGCGTATAGAGAGAGACAGAGAGAGGGGGGGGGGACTTAAAAGAGGCATGGCTCTCCGAGTGGGGGTCTCCAAGAGCTGTTTTGGACAGCACATCTCAGTAGCTGATTTATACCAGACACACCATGTACGGGTCCAGCAGATCACTGTCCCACTGGGAAGGACACTGGATGGCACTGGGCCAGAACGTGGCTTCATGCCGCTTTTAAGGGGCGACGCCTCACCAGCACGCTACGCACATGCCATTTCTCTCATCGCCTTCCCCAGTGCCAAAAAAATCAAGTATGATCCTTGAATATACAGCAGAGTATTTAATAAAGGCTAAACTGAACATGTTTTCATGTTTCAATAGTTCTTGCACCTGGACCACATAAATAATTACTTCAGAAAGAGAACAGAAACACACCCATACACACCCCCACACCCCAACAGCCCCACAGTCGTACGGCTCTGATGTAACCCGTGAGTAACACCCTCTACAGGTCCTGCATCACATTTTCCATTCAGCTTCCTGGGGTGGGGGGATGTGTGGGACACAGGGAAGGGAGGGTGTCACACTTTTTTCATTGCTTTTCGTGACACAATTAAATGTTTATTGATGTCTCCTGCATTGATTTTAGAACGGGAGGTGAAAAGTACAAAAAGTTAATTTGCGGTACTTTTCGGGTGTGGCTGAAATGGAAAGTCTAAAGGTGGCGGGGACACAAAAGGCTCACGCACCCTTTGAAGAGCTGCTCCTTGGGGAGGGTCCCAGACTGCAGCAGCTGGAAGAACAGCAGCCCCAAGTTCTCCCTGGTGGTCTGACTCCGCTCCAGCGTGGACTCCACCCCCAGCCTGACAAAGACGTGCAGCTGGGCCTCCTGCTCGAGCTCCTCCACACACTGTGCTGCCTCCTGTGTGTGTGGGTACACATCAGACCGGGACGGGCATTGCTGCTGCGTGTGTGTGGGTACACGTCAGACCGGGACGGGCATTGCTTTTGCATGTGTGTGGGTACACGTCAGACTGGGACGGGCATTAACCTGGAATGCCTCAATAACACATAAGCATGCATACTTTGTAGTCGGTGATGTGCAGGAACTCCTCCATGATGGCTTTGCACCTCCTCTCCATCTCCTCTACCGGTACAAGGAATTTTTCTGGACCAGGCCCTTCTGCAGCCTCGAGCTCCACTGCAGTAGAAGAGAGTGGCTGGGTCACAAAACGGATGGCCGAACACTGACACGGCTACATCCAAGCTATCAACTCATTCAAAAACATATTTCCCCCATTCCCCAAACTGTCCCACCTAGTTTATTTCTAGTTCAGTTTCAAACTCACCCATCCTTCCCTTTGTTTGTATCCCCATTTTGCAGAGAACTCCCCCCACAGCTTGAGGGGGGACAGAGGTAACAAAGAGAGCCTGTAGGGGTAGCCTGAGAGCACTCACTCTCCTTGGTCAACTTAAACCACAGCCATGATAGAATAATGACAGCTGTCCCACAAAATGACTCCCCCTCCCCCCCCTCCCCGTCATGATCCGGTGTTACCACACAGCACCTCAAGGCCAAACCATCCAAGGAGACGGGCTCTAAAAATTAAATGCGGCCTAAAATAAACAAAAGCACCTTCTCGCGGCGTGTTTCATCTGGCGGGTTGCTAAATTATAAGCCTTTAACAGCATGAAAACAGAAAGGGGGAAAGCAGCGTGGCAGATCAGGCCTGAGCCTGCTGTGATGGCAGATTAGTCTGGAGGTAGGCCGTCTTTCTGCTGCGCCAAGCCAGGCTCCGGAACCGCTCCATCAGTATCGCCTCGGAGCAGAAGAATCGGGCTGAACAAGCCGGCGTGCTTACGTACAGTGCAGCGAAAGCTAGATTCATGCTGCATTAACCGCGCCTGCTTTATTGCAGCGTCGCATCCCTGAATCACAGGCACGGATCAGTAAAACAGTAAATGGCCTACAGTGACTGGAGAGGGGTGTGGTCATGCCTTTTGGGCAGGGCCAGGCTGTGAGATGTACCCCCCCGAGCCTCGGTGTCGTTTCCGTGTGGTGCGCCTCACCAAGCTCGTCGGATAGGGTCTGCTCTGGGTTGGCCCTCTCCTCCACGGCGGCAGGGATGTCATATGCTTCCTGGCTCGTCTCCTCAAGGGCGGGGCTGTCCGGCAGCTCCTGGGCACTGCCACCGCGGGGGAGGGGCGCCGTGTGCAAGGGGGAGGATCCTGGCGACTTGTCATTCCTCTCTTGGCCCGTGCTGTTTCGACTGACCAATCAGAACACACACCGCCTATGTTTGATCATGTTAGCATGCATGAAGCAAAGCTTTCTTAGCAACCTTGGGTACCGGGAGATCCAGTTGGTGATTTCACCCCCTAGTCCTCCATACTATCTTGGGTTGTTTTTTCTCCATGTGTATTTGACAGCTCTGTTCAGCTGGTGTTGGATGCTCTGGATGGATGGAGATGCACGCTTACCTGCCGGGGAGCCTCCGAGAGTCTAAGTCCTGGGTGGCGGCAGCAGAGGCGGGGGTGACTGCCGGCTGCAGGGCACAGAAGCGGTTTAAGCTGCTTCCAGTGGAGCGCAATGGATCTGGGTGGGCGCAGGCACAAAGAGAACATGGAGACCTCAGCATTAAAAACGGCCCGAATGTGTATTTCACTGACACTGCAGCGAAACTGAAAGACTCTGAGAGTGTGCCACATGCTGGGGAACACACGGAGTACTGCCTTACTAAAATGGAAGAGCAGCAGACAGCCTGGTAGCCATTATGTCAAGTTGCTCTTCCCCGCCAGCAGAGGGCGCTCACCTGAATCGCTGGCTTTGACTCCGCCACTGCTCCCCTTTATCCAATTCACCTGAGCCCGTGGTCCCAGTTGGATCTTATCATCGATGGTCGGCTGTGGAAGCAATAATGCAGATAGGTTTATTCAAAGAGCTGACACTGCAACAGATATCCTGCAGCTAGTTATCCATATGGGTCAGGGGTTAAAGGTCGTTTCAAAGCTCCTAAGTTTGGCAGATGGGCACCCATTATCTGATCTGTAGTGCCAGCTTTCTGCCAGCAGGTGGAGCACAGGGGCAAGCCAGCCTTTGCCAAGACTGTTGCAGCAAGAACCAGCCTAGAGTCTGAAGCCAGCCTGTCACTCTGGAGCGAGCGCGCGCGCGCGCGCGCGCACGCACGCACGCACGCACGCACGCACGCACGCACGCACACACGCACACACACACACACACACACACACACAGACTCAGTGTTTAATAACAAGGAACGGCTTAACACCCCAGACAGAATATTCCCGACTAAAGTAACGACATGTTGGAGCAACATGCGTTACTGGCACTGGCATAGCCACCCAGAGAGAGGAAAATTCCCAGTGTCACTGACTGGTATGGGTAACCCAATCTGATGGTCACTTACATGTCACATGGGAGAATACGGCTGTTTGCGTAACCTGCTACGGTTAGCGGGTTAGCGACAGCTGGCCAGCCTAGTTAACATGCCGTAACCTAAATCAATCATCCCATAGCTGCCCAGGCACACTCACCTTGGAGATCTTGGGGATCTTGCTGGGGTCGATGGTCCGGCTGTTTTTGGTCACGGGCACCGTGCTCCAGGTGTCGTCGCGGGGCAGCCTCTGCTCCCGCTGGTCTGCAGAATGGAGCGCGGTGGTCATCAGGACCACTGAATACCCAAATGTCGCTTTACTACAAAAAAGCCATACATGCACTTCCCTACATGAAACCCTGCAAAAATCCTGCCCACCGAGGTCTTTACTGTCCGGGGCATAGGAACCGGAGGTGACATGTATCCCCCAATATTTTATTTTGGGTCATTCATTCCCCCCAATAAACAGATAAAACTCTCTCATATGCCCTTGTTCTCTGCTACCATTATGTTCTCTGCTACCATAGTGTGACAGATCTAGCGCCCAAAGCCAACAAAGTGAGTTCCCTATATAGTGAACTAAATTGTATACAAGCATGCATGTGTGTGGGTTATGTGTATATGACACTGAGGGGACCATTTTTTCAGTCCCCACAAGGGGAAATTCAATTATATATATATATATATATATATATCTGTGATTGCAATTAAAAAACTAAAAAGGCCAGAAGTCTTGTATTTTGTTTGGTTACTTATAGTTAAGGTTAGGGTAGGGGTTAAGGTTGTCATAATTAGGTTTTGGGTTATGCCCATAGAAATGAATGGAGAGTCCCCATAATGATAGAAATATACGAACTGTGCCTGCGTGCATTTACACACGATACACTTTGGTATAAATGTGCTTTGGTTCAGTTAGAAGACAGTCCTGCTGGCAGGATTTCCCTTTTTTATAACTAAAAGGGTGTGATTAAAATGGGACATACCCATACAAATGATGGGACACTGTAGGGGAAAAGAATGTCGTGAATGATTTTTCCCAAAGAAATTAATGGACGGTCCCCACAAAGATATAAGTACAAACACGTGTGTGTGCGTGTCCGTGTTTGTGTGCGTGCGTGCCCGTGTGTGTGTATGTGTGTGTGCATGCTGGAGGTTCAGTAGGGGGCGCCAACTCTTAATTGCCTCATTGCTTCACCACTGGAGTAATAAGTATTTGACTGCACTCCCCGCCCCGCCTTGCCCCACCCGACCTGGTCTTCTCTTGTTGTCCTTCGACATTAGCTGCTGGTGCACCTTGCGCTGCTCCTCCTGCTCCTCGATCCGCGCCTCCTTGTGAATCTGCTCGATGGTCTTGGGGCCCTGGTCCACTCGACGGGAGACCCAGTTGTGCTGTGAGCAGATGGACACTGTGGACATTCTTGGCAGTGGTGAGGCCACACCTCCGCATGCAACACGCATGGAAGCTCGTTTCATTACATGACCGGTGGCCTTGAATGTGTGGCTCCCTCAAAGGTACAACTGCAGTGTCCAATCCATTTGTATGGGTATATCCCATTCTAATCACACCCTTTTAATTATAAAGGGAAATCCTGATAGCATGACTGTCGTCTAACTGAACCAAAGCACATTTATTCCAAAATGTATCGTGTGTAAATGCACACATGCACAGTTCATATACAGTGATCCCCCACTATATCGTGGTTCAGCCATCGCGCCCTCGTTATATCGCCGATTTTTCCCAGACGCATCACAGTTCTTTGCGTATCGCGTACCATTTCCTTGTGGTCCAATTGTTGTGAGCAAACATTTTGTGAACCGATACTGAGCTTAAACTGTTTTTATTTTTACATATTCCATTACGTATACAGAGAGAGAGAGAGAGAGAGAGTATATATAAACATATACATTACATATTATTATTACTCATATCCTTAGCCCGATATCCACATCATATGTGTTTACAAAGTGTGTTTTAATAAGTTTACATGTGTTTAAAGCATGTGGGAGGGGTATTTTAAGGCTTATGCTATAAAAAAAAATGTTTATTTATATGGTCTTTCTGTATCGCGTTTTTTCACTATATTGCTGATGGGTCTGGAACGTAACTTCCACGGTAGGCAGGGGATCACTGTATTCCTATCATTATGGGGACTCTCCATTCATTTCTATGGGCATAAGCTAAAACCTAACTATAACCTTAACCCAGCCCTAACCTTAACCATAAGTAACCAAATAAAATGCAAGACTTTTGCTGTTTTTTAGTTTTTTGATTGCAGTCAAAGATTTTTATAAATTTGAGATTTATATTGTGAGGACCTAAAAAGAAACGGGTTTTACCACATTGCGGGGGCACTTGGTGGTAAATTCACACAAACACAGCCACACACACACACACACACACACACACAGACACACACACAGACACACACACACACACACACAGAAGTCTTTGAGGAGACCTCCTCCAACTTACTTGAATGCAAATAACAACCCAAAAAATCCTAATAAAACTCAAGTGTTTTCACAATCTTGGATTAATAATAAGACAAATAGAAAGACATTTGCTGCTTCGGTGTCCTGAGGACAGACACTCACTCACTCACCAGTCGCAGGTCGATAACGTCCTGCAGCATGAAGCGAATCCGTGAGGAGGTCTTCCTCTCCTTCACGATCTTCTCCATCTGGTGGAAGTACTGATCCATGCGGGGCTGCAAGAGCATCGGGTAAGAGACAGGTAGGTACGCATTCTGTGACATGTGGGTACCAACACCTTAAGTTGCACATAACAGTAAGAGTAAAAAACATGGCTGAGGGGCCAGATATGTGCGTGTGTGTGTGTGTGTGTGTGTGTGTGTGTGTGTGTGTGTGTGTGTGT